GGCATAATATAGCATGTGGCTTCTGGGTACAAAAATTCAGCTCCTAGGCACACCAGAGCCAGCCACCCTTATGGTAAAAGTTCTTACCTTACTATTCATTTTGCTGTCAAAATGGCAACCTTCCACAAGGTTTAGTATTAACAGAGGATGATGTCTTGTTCATTCTATGTTTGCCACTTAGCTTGTATAAGTCAGCAGTGAAGCTGGAAGGCTTTGCTGACATCTTGAAATAACCAAAGGCACTGTTTGCATGCAAAGCTTGCAAGGGGTTTTTGGGTCCCATGAATGTCATGCAAATTAATGAATTATAGGAGGGTGATTAAGCAGCTTTACACTAGGATTCCATTAAAGTTTTTTCAGGTGTTCCTCAGAAGGCAGACGCTGCAACATACAGCTGCAGGAGAATGAGTGCATTTTGAATACAAGGCATTTATTATAACTTTTATATCCTTCCTTTTCATTTAAACAATACTAGGGTTTTTTTAAATATGCAGGATAGTAATTAAAAAGATACACAGTGAGAAAGGGAGGTGACTTGTACTGGGATATTACTTTCCTGCCTGTACAGAAAGATTGGTTACAAAGGCTACTCAAACAAGATGACAAGGAAGAGAACACTGAGTTGCTACTATTGATTGCGGTTTCTCAACTTCTGAATGTGATTTTATTCCTTCTGAATAGGTTGAAAAACACATCCTACATCTTAGCTATTGGCAGTAAGGGAATTACACTAAAATAAATTGTCATTTTGTCTCCATCTTTTTCTCTTGGCCCCACCTACCACTGGATTTTGCACCACACCTGAGAAGAGCTCTGAAATTGAATTTGGCCTATGGGCAGAAAGGTTCCCTGCTCTTGCAGTGGATTTGTGTCTTGACAGCAGCCCAAATGTCACTGAATTGGGTAATAATAACATCTCTGAGCTGGGCTGGCAGAATAGAACTATGTCAAATAATTGCATACCCAATACAGTAATGGCTTCTGACTCAGGTAGTTAATTAAGTTTTATTAAGACAACAGGAAATGGTGGCTCAGAGTCCCAGCAGAGCAGGTCATTCTGGGTCTCCCAAATGAGGGAGTCTTGCCATGTATTGCCATCAACTTTTTTCCCTACTCATTTCCTTTCAGAATTTTCCTACAGTAAAATAAACCGCACAAAGTATATGAAGCACATACATTAATTCCATTTATGCATGCTTGTTTGTGGCTTTAAGGCTTCCAGCTTTAGAGAGTAGCAGGAGCCAGGGCAGTGATTTCTTTTGCATCTCCCCCAACTTTGTGAACCACTGTCCTTGTCCATACATATAATATATAAACATGTCATTATTGAGAGAGATTATATCATGAAATGAGGTAGGTCATGACTAAATAGGTACAGTAATGAAACTAAGTGCATCTGATGCTAGTAGCACTCACCATTAGTGCTTAGGAAGCATTTGCACATGACTGCTCTATGCAGCCTTTTGCAACCACATAGACATGTTATAGAAGATACCGAGGCCAAGCAGTAAAAGGCAGCATGGCTGCAGTTCTTAATATTAATTTCCATGACTATATGCAGAAAATATCCTAAGAAGAATCAAGATTTGACCCTTCTGCCACATCTCTAGTCCCTCTTCTCAGCAGAGGACCTTTCAAGTCCATCAGTCAGATCTCTTTTGTTCCTTAGTGGTTTAAGTCCAGCGGATGACAGTGGAGCTAAAAAGAAGAAAAAGAAACAGAAGCGGAAGAAGGAAAAAGGGGATCAACTTGACTCAGTCCAGGATCAATCAGTAAAGGTAAAAAAGGGGGGCAGTGGGTAGTTAATTCTCCAGCAGTTTAGTTTTCGGATTTTTACCCAATGAAACCCCTGTCCCCACATAATACTGTAGTTTCTGTCTGAAAATTTGTGATCTTAAATCAAGAAGTATAGGAAATCCAGACCAAAGTCCCTTATTTCTTTGCGCACAAAAGGTTATAAAAGGTGCTCTTTGACCTACAGTGTCACACTTACATTTGTGGCTGAGCCATGCTGTCAGTGCATTGGGGTCTGGGAGACATGTAGCTTTTAAATAATTATAGTAAATGTTTAAATAATGTTTAGATTTCTACAGCATCAGAGTATTAGCTGACTGAGGCTGATGAAAGCTATCCCCATAAAACTTGGATGGCCTCAGGTTAACTGTACCTGTCTTTAACAGGCAGGTGAAGGAAAATGTTTCTCCCCTCCACAACCTGTTGTAAACTTTACATTAAAGGAAGGCCAAAAAATTTAGGATTTGCCAGTCTGATTCATTCTCCCTTTGCTGTGTTTGCAGGTGAATTCATTGCCAGCAGAAAGGATGCATGAGATTCAAAAGGCCATTGAACTCTTCTCAGTAGGACAAGGACCTGCCAAAACAATGGAGGAGGCCACCAAGCGCAGCTATCAGTTCTGGGACACACAGCCAGTTCCCAAGTTAGGTACACAGATTAATAATGTTTTCCCCCTCTATACAGTGGTGCCCCGCTAGACGCTTACCCTGCATGACGTTGAAATCACTTGATGATGGCTTTTTTGCTATCGCTATTGCGATTGCAAAACAATGGTTCCTGTGGGAGAAATCCACTTAACATTGATTAGGTCCCTGCTTCGCGAACCATTTGTTCGCAAAACAATGTTTTTTCTGGCTCCACAAAATGGCTTCCCTTTGCAAAATAGCTTCCCTCCCTTCGCAAAATGGCTGTTTTACGGACCTCTGCTTCGGAAGACAGCCATTTTAAACAGCTGATCAGTGGTTCTCTAGGGACAATCTTCGCTGGACGATGAGGTATTTCCCCATTGGAACACATTAACCGGTTTTCAAGCATTCCAACAGGTTTTTTTTCGTTTGACGACGATTTCGCTTAAGAGCGATTTTCCTGGAACAGATTATCATCGTCAAGCAGGGCACCACTGTACTTTGTTTCTTTCTGGCTGGACTTAGAGCAGATCTCTACACGTTTTCAGACAGTTACATTATCTATGCTGGGTGAAGACATTTTAGTACAGCAAAAAAAAAAAAAGGCAGGGAGCAGCAGCAGCATATAAATCTTCCTTTCCACCGTGATGTAAGAGATGGTGTAAATTTTGTGAGTGGGGGGAATTAGGTTCCTTATCAAAGGCCAGAGACTGCTGCTAGCTAGGGAGTCAGGACAGAAATGAGGAATCCCACAGAAATGCTAGGGAGAGGACTCAAATAGCTGCCTTGGCCAGAAACATACAGAAGCTGGAAGAGTACAGGCTGTGTAGTTGCCCAGACAAAGTGTGGTATAGAAGTGCAATTTTGCAAGCCTAGAATCATAGAAGGATTGGCCGGGTGGAGCAAGAAAAATGTCTTAGGCCAATGGATGGAGGCAACCTGCTCTCACTCTTTCTTTTCCATATCTCAGGGGAAGTAGTGAACACTCATGGCCCAGTTGAACCTGACAAGGACATCATCCGCCAGGAACCCTACACCTTGCCTCAGGGATTCATGTGGGATGCCCTGGACTTGGGGGATCGAGGTGTGGTGAGTAGGGATAAGGCAGAACATATAAATCCTAGAAGGTTTTCCTTTAAACCAACTCTTCTTTTCTCTCACCAGTGATCCAAGGCTATTCCATTATTACTGCTTTCTACCTGAGCTTCAAGGTCCTCGCCCTTTGTTTTTTTTCCCTTTTTATTGCTTTACTTTTTGGTAAATGAATCTGTTTACCATTTCTGTGTCTGTTTGCTCTAAACACAAGCGTCTCCTTGCACTTTCAATTCTTCTTCATTTTCAGTACTGTATTGCCAATTCTTCATTTCTTCCTTTCCCTCCTTCATCCTTCTGAGTTCCCCCTTGAAAGCAGGTTTCTTTTGCCAGATTTGTCAGAAAAAGTTTTCCTCCCTTTGTTTCATCCCATAGTGTTTAGCCTGGCTCACTTGGCTTGAGTTGACTGGATCTCTCATGGTACCTCTGGTATGCCTTGTCTGCCCCTATTTGTGTCAAGTTGTAGTGCACTTCCATAGCAAAACAGATCTTTTCATACTAAGTACGTGTAACGCCTTTGCACATTAGATACAATTTGGGGAAATCTTTTTACCCTTTAAAAATTGGCACCACATAGCTATTCTGAGACCTGCTTTGTCCCTCATTTTGAAAGCAACCAATGCTTTATGTATTGTGAAAGAGTCATTACACTCTTAAATTGTCACCACTCATTGCACAGCACTTCTAATTTGCATAGTTTTGAATCTGTTGTTCCTTGAAACATCCCTGTGAGGTCCTTATCCTTCTTGTTTTCCCTGTAGGAAGCTGTGGAAGAGAACACAATGATTTACTGGAGACCTCTGGAGAGGAATGGAACTTGGGTCTTCCAAATCTCTGTTTAGCATTATTTTAGTGTGCTGGTTGTTTTCCCTGTAGTGGCCGTCTAACAATTCTTCCACCAAATGTCCACTTAGGTCATGTTATTCACTTAAAGAAAGGGAGCTTTGCTTCCATAAGCTGATTATGGTTATCTCTTTTGATTTCATTAGCTCAAAGAGCTGTACACTCTCCTCAATGAGAACTATGTAGAAGATGATGACAACATGTTCCGGTTTGATTATTCACCAGAGTTCCTTTTGTGGTGAGCTGCACTTTTTCCTGAATATCTCTGAGGTGATCTCCTTCCATTTCCCTTTGTTCTTACATTGGAGCCCAGCATGGCGATTTATTTGTTACTTTTTAAACTCTCCTCCCAGGAGCTAAAGGTACCTGATTCTTCCTCACATTTTCCAGCAAGTTTGAGGATCCCTGAATGAAGACTTTCCCAATCTTATGTTACGTGAAGTTCTGTAGCCTGCGTTAGTAATGTTTGCTTTGATGGTGACATCACAGAGACTCTTGAATCAAAACACCCTAATGGGACCATCTCTTTTCTCCAGGGCTCTACGTCCCCCAGGCTGGCTTCCCCAGTGGCACTGTGGAGTGAGGGTCATCTCAAGCAAGAAGCTGGTTGGCTTCATCAGTGCTATTCCAGCTACTATTCACATATATGATATGTAAGTCCAGCCAAACATTTCTATCTCTGTCCAGGTTTAAGGGAACATATTTCTTTCATCCTTAAATGTCCTTTATGGATTGAAATTAGGATTTGTGCTCTTTAATTTGAGGCAGATGCAAAACCGAAAATGCTTTTCATGGCCCGGGCATATACCAAGTGCTTACCACACAGTGAGAAGTAGACAAGACCTCAAGGCAAGCTTGAGCACCTGTAATTAAGAGATTATTCATTTGGAATCTTCCACCCTGAAGATTGTGGCTTTATATATGGGATCTCCCAATGGGAGATGCAGTCCGTTAAAAAAAATTGGCTTTGTTGCCTCAATAATTAGACTTTCAATTGTTTATTAGTAATTTTCAAAGTAACACAGCAAGTGAGTGCACAAAGAAACATCTTGTGATTTGCAAACCGTTTACTGCAGCATAATGTAGAACGATTATTTTTACACCACAAATGGTGAGGAACAGGTGTAGGGTTCCTGGCGGATGATGTCCTTGTCAGGTGAGGAACAGATACAGAAACAAAACTTAAATCCTGGACAGGTAGAAGTCTTTCCTGCTCTCTCCTAGATTTCTTTCCAAAATGTGACTGACACCATTTTCACTTGTTTTACTTTGAAGGGAGAAAAAGATGGTTGAGATAAACTTCCTCTGCGTGCACAAGAAACTGCGTTCCAAGCGAGTGGCTCCTGTCCTGATCCGGGAGATCACTCGACGGGTCCACTTGGAGGGAATTTTCCAAGCTGTGTACACTGCGGGTGTTGTTCTGCCAAAACCTGTTGGGACCTGCAGGTGAGTGCCAATAGCCTGGTTTTGGCTTTTGTCTTTCTCAAGCCTCCTGTCATTTCCTTGGTTGTTTTATTGATATGCTGTTAATAGGAAATAGCAGGCAAGTCGCCAGACTGAGATGAGTGTCTCTGAGCAAGAGACCAACACTTTCTTGAACCAGCTCGCTTCTGAAATGCTCTTCTACAGGACTTGGTTTTTTTGAGAAGAAATGGAGAATATTGGCCTGTGAAGGCTTAGCTGAGGGGTACCCATGTTGCTGTGGCACAGAAGTGCCCCATAGTTGGGGCTGAAGCATATCTTCAATTAACAACTGCTTTCTCATTGCATTGGGAAGAGAAATGCTTTCCTGCAGCCATCTTTTTGCCAGAATGAACAAAGAATGCTGTAGATTTCCCAGTATGCCTTAGCTATGGGAGTTTTACTTTTGTGTGTGTGTCTCAGACTCCCATAATTCTCCAAGAATTCCTCAGGTAGAATTCTGGAAGCTTCAGCCATCAAACATAACACGGATAGGCACCTGCATTTCACTCATTTGGACTAGGGTGTATTTCTGAAGCTGCATGACTTTCTCAGGCCTTTGTTTCCTGTTGCTAATGTAAAGAAGAAGAAGCTACCACAATACTTCCTGAGCATCATAGCCTTGCTGTCCTTTAAGCTCTGGGGAGGGCACCTCCCCAAAAACTACACCTTCCAGAAGGAACCACAGCAGCTTCCTTTTTTTTACATTAACAAAAGGAATAAATGATTGAGAAGGCCATGCAGCCTTGAAGGTAGGCATCTCTGTGTAGGTGTTTGTGGTCTCTAGCTCCCCAAATGCTGCCTGGGAAATTATTGGAGCATCTTGAAGTTGGAGTCAAAAAAACACTGACAGAGGACACCACTACAGTACTCCCTTTCTGCAGCCGCCATGTAGGGAAGCGTTAGGCCATTGTCAGGAAAATCGTGTTGCGTCTCTACACCTTAATTTGAATGAATAAACACAATGCTTTCAAAGGGGAATATTTCTGACCTACAACAATACCCAGATCCCCAGCAGCGATACCCATGCTGGGTGGGCAGTTCTGGGAGTTGTAGTTCAAAAACAACTTTTCCGAGTTCTAGTTAAGGGGGAAAAATCACTTAGGCTACCATGCTGTTGTAAGAAGGTCTACCTATTAATTTGGGAGATTATTGAGGAATAATGTGTATGTATCTTTTTGAGCAGCAGAGTAAAATGTACATCCAATTTTAGGCGATACTGAGTTAGGCCTTGCCGACAGGATTCACGTTCTAAGGCCTCCATGGAGGAAGGATGGGAAACGAATGGGATGAATAACCTGGAAGGCTCCTCTTTTCGGCAGGTACTGGCATCGCTCCCTGAATCCGCGCAAGCTGATCGAAGTAAAGTTTTCCCACCTGAGCAGGAACATGACTATGCAACGCACCATGAAGCTCTATCGGCTTCCAGAGGTCTGTGATGGGCAGGGTAGGACCTAAGTGGGGCCACTGTGAAAGCACCTTTTTGGTCAGAACAATAAACTATCCAACTTTGTACACAACCAAGGGAACAGAGAAAGAAATCATGGGGAATATAGGGATCAAAACCACTTGTGGTGATTGGAAAAGGTTCCTCTCACTCCGCACCATCACTCTTAAAGCTAAGAACCTCACTTGGGATCCAAATGAATGTTGGTCTAATTAGAAAAAGTCCTTTGTGAGCTGCATTTTGATGCTTGAGCCAGGCCCACTGTAGCACCATAGATCGTTCTGTATCTAGAGCAGTAATTCCCAAAATGTTTGAGACTCTCGCATGGCACATATCCAATGTGCTGTAAAATAACTTTTTATGCCATTAAATGTAATGTGAATAATCAGTGTGGAGCCCAAAACTCTAGTTACAGAAAAGACTGTTTAGTCTAAGGTGAGACACTGTCCTCAGTAAGTGAGTGTGGCTCATCTTTGCATCTGGCAGCAATGGGATCATGCAGCCTCTCCTGAATCAGAGTCATGCCAGCACTGGCTTTTCCCAGAGGAGGCTGCTTCTTTCATATCTAGTGGAGACACTCCTGTGGGCTGGTGTGGAGAGTGAAACTTGCTGAAACATGGGGATGACGTCCCTTCAGCTTGACAGTTCTTTTATATCCTCAGAAGGTTTACTTCTAAAGTATGAAAATGAAATGTGCCTCCATTTCTTACTCTGGAAATAAACAGAACTCTGGAAAGTACTGGTTAAGATGCAAGATGGTGAGTGATGTGTAAATGCAGCTGCTTCTTCCATTATATTATATATTGACTGTTCATCCTAATGCATAGCTGCTATTTTCAAGAACTATTATCCAGTTTCAAATAGGACAGTAAATAGAATGGGAGGAGCACTTTGCAGTATGTGGTTTGCTTGTTGGACTCAACAGCTCTAGGGTCATTGTTCTGCTGCTCCTTCCTTATGGCCCCCATGATGTAGATTGGTTAGGTCTGCTGGCAAAGAACTTAGAGATGGAGGAGCACCCTTTTTTATTGTATTTAAGTGGTCCTTGGCTGCCTTCTGATTCTGATGGTGCAAGATGCTTACTGAGAGTATCTAGAGCTGGGGGTACATTGAAGTTATTGGACATTGGGGTAGGGATAGCAGCAGATTCTCTGTATGTCAAACTGAGCTGTAGCTTGTACATGTGTATCTGGCTGCCATACCGAGTTTCTGGGCAGGCAGGCAACTCCATGTCAGCATGTGCTTCCTGTGCTGAATGAGTAATTTTTGCCTATACAGTGGTGCCTCGCATAACGAGCGCACCGTTTAACGACGAATCCGCATAGCGACGCGTTTTTTGCTATCGCTAATGCGATCGCATTGCGATGTTTAGATAGGCTAAACATCGCATTGCGATGATCGGTAAGCGTTTCGGAGTTTAATGCGTTCCTATGGGGTTTTGCCCCCTGCATAGCGACGAATCCTGGAACGGATTAACGTCGCTATGCAGGGCACCACTGTACTCCATGAGCATTGTTGGACCAGCTTGGGATAGAGAAAGATCCTGTTGGCCACAAAAGAAGCAGTTGCACAGGCCTTTGAGTGCCACATGGTAACAGTTGTTAGAACCCAGTGGCAACCTTGGGGCAACCAAGTTGCCTGCAGTAGCATGAAGATTTGGAGGTCATCCACCAAACTAGAAGCACAACAATGGCTTTCAGAAAAAGGTAGTGCCAGGTAACTCTACCTAAGCATCCCAATTGGAATTGAGGTATGCTTTCATAGAACTTTCCTGCTAATAGGCAGCTACTGAGCATGTGTAAGTGGAGGAGAGCAAATGCCTTTAAATGCACTCACACTCCTGGAGAAGCACTCTGTGCCTGTCTGTCTCTCTAATTCTCTGACTCTCTTGCAGGTGCTTGCCAAAATTGATTTCTGACTACATAGGCTCCCTTTTGTTTCTGGGATTTACATTTCATTCCAAACACACATTAATTTAAAGTGTGTTTCAGTCTGTTTCCATTGGCTGCAAATTGTTCAATCTCTGGTTATAAGAATGCACGTTCAGGAGGCATCTCCTTGTTTCCTTTCTTGGTAATTCTGCACATGTAGGTGCATGGTACAGAACGTGTAGTGGCATTGCCCATCTGCCCCAGCAGAGGGAACCAGAGAACATGGTTATATAGTCTTTGTCCCCCCACCCCACGCCTTTTTGGTGTCACTTGGAGGGGGAGGATGCACAACAGTACCTAATTAGAGAAACAGAACAAACAGCAGCCACAAACAAGTTTCCAAATAGGTCATGGATGTGCCTTGGGGAAAAGGCAATGCAATAAGGTACCTGTGGCTCTCAAACTTTCTCCTTTCAGGAAACTTGGGGCTGCCTTAAATGGGCTCTTCTACCCAGCTGAGTATTAACAGGCAACAGCTTCACATTTTTTGAGCCAGGAGCCTTTCCTGGCCCTCTCTGCCAGAAAAGATGCAGGGACTAAACATGACTTAAGTTATATCACTGGCCTATGGCCCTTCCTGAGAGGTGCTCAATGTACAGCGTGAAACTCACAGGTCTGCTTAAATTGATTCCTTCAGGGCAAAACAGGTTCTTTGATAACCCAAAGACTTTTAAGCAAACAAGCTTTTGTTGTTGTTCTTTCCCACCCTCAGACTCCAAAGACTCCAGGTTTGCGGCCAATGGAGCATAAAGACATCCCTGCTGTGCATAGACTTCTGTCAGAGTATCTGAGGCAATTCTTCTTGACCCCCGTCATGAATCGGGAAGAAGTAGAGCATTGGTTTCTGCCCCAGGTCAACATCATTGATACATTTGTGGTTGAGGTGAGGCATTTCCCCATTATGCTCTGGTATGTGACAAGAAGTTGTTCATTTTTGGGTTGTAGTTTCAAAAACTTTTTCCAAGCCTAATTTCAAAGCAGAAGTAGAGGCTGTGCAGGGGTTGTCTCCCTCATCCTTATGAATGATACATTCAAGGATACATCCTTGAATTGATTTCAGCACAGTCCTCATTCTACTATTTTTCTACATTTGGGGTGGCTTTCAAAAGTAGCATTTTCAATCTTAAACAGTACAGTCCATATTGCTTTTACCAGCTAATTGCTATTTCATTTTGGTTTTGGCCTAGACCAGAAATATGTGACTGTTTAAGAGAGAGGTAGGAAGGACCCTTCAGACCTCCTCACCTTCCTAAGTGGGGGAGAAGGCAGGCATGAAGGTGGATGAAACACATACCATCACAGACACAGAACTGCTCCTGGGGACTTCATTTGAGGGGGAGAGGGCAGGCATGAAGGTGGATGAAACTCATACCATCACAGACACTTTCTCTGTGAACATTGACAGAACTGCTCCTGGGGACTTCATTTGAGTTATTGCCTTTGTTTTCTCCAGAACACTGATGGGGAGGTGACGGACTTTCTGAGTTTTTATACCTTGCCCTCTACCATTATGAACCATCCAACTCACAAGAGCTTGAAAGCAGCCTACTCCTTCTACAATGTCCACACCAAGACACCACTGCTTGACCTTATGAATGATGCTCTTATATTGGCCAAGATGGTGAGCTCCTCTCTTCTGTTTTGTTTTGGGCATTTTAGTATGTTCAGTTTCTTTTGTGTAGCATTTGGGAGAAATATACAGAGAAAAGAATCATGCTCATGAAGTACCCAACCAGATAAATGTGGTCTGAAATGTAAGAGAGACAGAGAAGCAAGTTTCTTGCTCTTCTCAGTACATTTGGGGAGACAGAAAAGCAAGTGTCTTTTGGTTTTTTTAAAAATCAAGTTTCTTGCTCTTCTCAGTACATTTGGTTTCTTTTGAATGCTTAATAACTATAAAGGATGGAAATAAACCTCATGTCTTTTTATCTTCCTGACTCCCTGTGAACAGAAGGGCTTTGACGTTTTCAATGCACTGGATCTCATGGAGAACAAGACCTTTCTCGAGAAGCTGAAATTTGGGATTGGTGATGGAAATTTGCAGTATTATCTGTATAATTGGAAGTGCCCCAGCATGGGGCCAGAGAAGGTAAATGGTCCCCGCTGCGGTGCTTACAGGCCTTCTAAATCATGCAGTGAGCTGCATCGCAAAGTCCTGAAGGTGTTCTCTGATGGAGAACCAGGCAGCTGAAATGTAATTTGAAGGAACTCAGGCTGTTATCCTCTTTGGTGTTGTAGAGCAGAATGCCACACACAGAACACCACATCATCTGTATTGTGCCTCCACCCAAGCCAGAGATGGTCCCAGGTTGCATGAGTGCAGAGGCACGGTTGCCTCCTGCACACTCAGAAACAGCTTGGCAGCTTGCACAAAAGACACTTGCACGTGTCGAGGATTCTGACCTAAATTTTCACTCCGTCCAAATCAAACACCTAAACAAACAGAAAAAAAAGTGGAATTTCTACTCCTTGTGCCTGAGGAATTTGAATCTGAAAAACACAAATTGCCTGAGGAATTTGAATCTGAAAAACACAGAAGGAACTTTCTGCTAAACAAGAGGGTGGCAGTAGTGGTTTGTGTTCATTGTTATGTTTTGTACAGATCTCTTGGCATATCAAATAGTGTACTTGTACCATTAAGCTGAGAGATGCTGATTTCCCAAGGCTAAGCCATCAGCTTTGGGCATGAAATGAGGTTTGAAACTGGGCCTTCTGTGTCCCAGTCAAGACTCCTGCCCCATGTTGACCTGAAGGCTCTGGCCCAGATCCCTTCCTGTGTTCCCCTGCCAGCTTTCCCCCAGGCTTGTGTCCTTTATCTTAGGAGTTGCAGCTCTCACTCCATGTTCTAGTAAACCTTTGGAAGGGAAGATCCCAAAGTATGCAAAACTGGTTCAGGACAGAGAGCTGTGAAAAAAGATGTTGAACTGGCCAGGCTTCCTCATTTAACAAGTGGAATAGTTGGCCCTGCTTACACTCCTGAGGGTGTAAAATCCAATTGTAATCTATGGCTAAAATTCTCCATAATTCAGAAAGATAATTAGGGTTTATACAGATGTATAAAGCTTGTACATTCTTTGCTGGGTACAAATTGCTGCTGGATTATGTATATTTCTTTACGACACATTCCTAGACATGCTCATAGTGCCACCTGGAGAGAAATTCTGTTGATAAGACAATTAAGTAGAATTGAACTGAGGCTCTGTGTGCACATGTTCTCAGTGACCTGTCTGGGCTCAGCCCTGTCATTGCTGGAACACCTTGCCTCTTCAGTGGAATGAAAGTTCGTTACTAAGGCTACTAGTGTACAGACAGGAAAAGGTAAAGTTTTTAAACCCGTCTTAACCCTTCCCTCTATCTGTTTCCTGCAGGTTGGCTTGGTGTTGCAGTAACCAGTACATCTCTGGAGAAGCGCAGGCAGAGTTGGTGAAGAGCTGGGCCAGGGTGGAACTGCTAATCCTTACAGTTCAGATGTCCATGGAAGTGTGACCCCCTTCTGCGGAGGCACTTGTGCCTGGTGAACTGGCCATGTGAACTGTTCACTGACACTTGATTGTATTGTGTGCCAGTGAGTGCGCCAAATGGGTTGGCATCAGCACTTGGCCTCTTCTCCCCCCGCCCTTTATACAAACACGATCAAGGGAATGTAACTGCGGAAAACAAGCTCACAATTGGCATATATTGGAGTTAACGGGTGAATAATAATAAAAATTATATTATATATTCTATATTTTTTAAATGTTTGCTATTCACCTGAATTAGAAATGGGTTGGGCAATCAGTCTGCTTAACTTTATGTCTTAGAAATATTGTATATAAAAAAATCAAGTCCTAGATTGCTTTTCTGTTCCCCAAAGCAGAAGGGATGGTTGGTGGCAGGAGTGGTGTGTCATATTCCATAATTTGGGCATATCCACTACTTTTTTAATATTGCCAAAGACACATTTGAGCAGCAGTATGCCTTTTTTGGGATGTAACTGGCCTCAGCTGATGAGCTTTTGAATTTTCTTCCTTGCTCATGGAGCAAATGATGACATGCTCCAAACCCATATTCAAAGAAATTTAGAAATCAAAGGGCTATTTTAGTGACTGCTGGGCTGCAGCAGTGCTGAATGATGGGTGGTGTGCTTGATGAAACCCATCTCTCCACCCCTGGAGGTGCACTAATAGATCTGCAGTGCAATACTTGAATTCCTAAACTGACAGCCTGTGCCTTGTGGCTCTTACAATTCATACTGGCCATTCTTTGCTCTGTAGGAGTTTTTGAGAGTCTTGTCCATGAGAGGGAGTTACCTGAAGGCGTGCAGTGTGTTAAACTACAGCTCCACCCCCTGCCTTTGAACTTCCATTGTTTTTGCGTTTTCCAGTAATGGAATTTGTGCATCAACCACATTTCAAAGTTTTCTGTGCTGCGTTATTTCTTTTCTGCTTGAATGAACCAACAGTCCAACCTAGGGTCTGGTTGCATTGTCTGCTCTTAAGAACAACATTCTGTGCTTCATCCCATTGCTAAGAATCTACTGGTACGATGAGAAATGTTGGCTGGCAGTTATGCCATCATATATTGTTATAAACCCATAGGAGACAAATCCATGTAAGCCAGAATGAAAGTGGCAACTTATAACAGATAGGTGTCTTCTGTGAGAAGTGGGAGCTGTTATATTGTTGTGGTTAGCAAGGCTGTTGTATTTCTGAAGTTGAAAAGAGTAGGTCTTTACATATGGGGGCTTTGCATCAGTGGCCTCTCTTATGGAAGGGTTGTTTCCTTTTTTGCCCATTAAAACCCAACAGGCAATATGGAATTGATTTGACTGTAGATATTCTTTTATGTCTGTCCTTTCCACAATCAATGGACATGCTGCTAATGCAACTACATAACACGGTGAACGGATCTTTTGTCAGTTAGCCCTCTGGATCAGGGAATGTTTTCCAGGAGGAAAGTGGGCACTGAAAGTTCTGGTCTTCCATGTTCTACTGAGATGGTCTGCTAGAAAGTGAAGACTATCCCATCTTTTCAAGAATGATGAAAATGAGCCTGGGCCTTGAAAAAGAGACCAAGTGTCTTCTGGCTTTTTAAAAAAACAAATAGCTGCTTTATCACTGTTATAATCTCACCAGATTTCTATATCAGACAGGTTCCCACTCCTTGCTTATGGAGGTGGGTGGGCATTCGTGAAGGCTTAGAAGTTCCAAGGACATGGGGGGGGCGGGAATTCCCCAGTAAGCTAGAAAATGTTTTGTATGAGTCTTGTAATAGAATATACAGCAAAAGCTTTTCAACCTCATCGTTCACAACTGAGTCAATGGAGGGTATCTCAGCAGTAGAAATGGAGGGAGTTGGAAAAAAAGATGCACTTCCTTGGATCTTTGCTTGTTTTGTCCAAGTCGCTGTTGATCCTCCGTGGGAAATCAGTGGCTATCTTTTCAAAAAGACTCTGCGCTTCCCCCAAGAAGGATTGCACATGATACCTCTTGAAATTTCAAGAAACGTGTCATTCCCAAGAGCTGAAACCACAGCCCTTTCAGTGTAGCGTTCTTACTGGATGGAGTTGAAAGAGCTTTACATTCTATTAAATACCTGGCTCACAGAAGTGCTACTCACTCCAGGTCCTGCATGGACTTTAATGGACCCTCTTTTAGCATTGTGGCTGGGGGTTTGGCTTTGTTTTCAACTCTGGTAAGGTTTCTGAGGTTTGCTGTCATGAACACAACTTCAACATCCCATACTTCTGGGATTGGGCTTTTTTGTGCATATCTTTCATCTTGCCCTGTTACAGTCTTTGTGATAAATGTGGAACTTTCCTTTTCCCTGTCTTTATATCTTGTGTGCTTATTGGCTTATGGGGAGGTGGGGTGGGGGATGGTCTTCAGATGCTTACTTTGGCTGCAGATCCAGCTTTTGTGGGTCATGTATGAAGAAAACTAGACCACCATGGATACAAGTGCATATGAATGAGTAGTTTTCAGTCAGCTTATGGCCTTAAAATTTGAAGTAGTAGTTGAATGATTGGGCAGGCTGTGAGCTGAACTGGAATTAACTAAGTAATTTTTTAAAAGAAAAAAATCACTGTAAGCTTATACAATGCACACTTGCCCTCCTATAGTCCTGCCCTGTGTATTTTTGTACAACTTTGGAAATATTGTTGAATTGAAATTATGTTTAGCTTTCGTTCACCATCATATGAGCAGAGTAAGAAAATATTTAATCACTTTTTCTTCCTCTTATATGTCCATTTGCTTAAAAGCTATCCTGTGTGCCACTGTTTCCCTTTTTAGACCCTAATGTTCTAGGTGGGCTTCTTTATGATCAGACGGTTGTATCCCAGAGTATGCTGCATCGATCAAGACAAGACGATCCAGCGATACCCACCTGCTATCAGAAGCAACCGTTTCATGAGTTTCAGCTGGAAGCTTATTTCCTGCCACCTTGAGGCTACTCCTAGAAATGACAGAAATCCCATTGATAATTTTTGTCCCAGGAGGTGGCAGGCAGCACTTCAATCCATCCCTAGGATGCCATCTCACCCCCTGGGAAAGAGGATACAGAATCATTATGAGAAGGTCCTTCATGGAGAAGAGAGAGGCTTTCCAGTACATTTCCAGGGCTTGGCAGGCTTATTTGTTGCACACAAACACACACGCTTGTGTGTACATGTGTCTTCCTTGGGGTTTAATCATCTGGTAGCATAGCGGTGGGCCCAATTCCTACTTCCAGAGTACTCTCCATCTCCATTTTAACCTTCCAATGTTGGGTGCTGAATGGGCTGGGCAGCAAAGAAAGCTGACTTGTCAGCTTCTGTCTCAGTAAGGTTTTTTTTTAATATACAATTTAATAGTCAAATTCTCTACAAAAATGTATTGCCTGTGAGGCAAATGCTGTCAGGTAATGGGTGTAATGTGTTTGCAGTTTCTTACTACATTGTGAAGGGATGCTTCATTCATCTGTGACTGATGACTCAAGAAAATAATTTCAGAATTGACTTAAGCTTTGCTTTTCCGAGGCAGAAGCATACAGATGGTTGAAGTATAATGCGTTCTTACAGTGGTTTGACATGCACATTATCTTTTACAGGGAATGCAACATAGCCTTACACCTGTAGGAGCAAAGCTTCTTTTCAGTTGTTTTGGAGAGAGGGAAAAAACAGAGGTCTCAGATATAGTTTTCCTCAATCAGTGTAGGAACTCATTACTGCTGTGACTGCCCTGAAACGGAGCTTTTGTAAGATTTAGATGAGTGGCAGGAGAGAACTCCACAGATGACTAAATGTGACGGATTTTTATCTCTGTCCACAGAAAAGGGAGATACAAGTATTCCTCCCCACCCCAGGGATTTCAACAGTACTTAATTAATGGGAGTATCACACCAAATATCATTAGAATCTCTCTATTTCACAAATGGGAAGGGTTCAAAATATTAACGCCCTGTTCATATTTTGAGTTAAGAACAGATATGCATGCTTAGTCCCATTTGATTTTCAGAACAAATTTTTTAGAGCTGATTTTTTTTGCCTTCACTGAAACATCGATTCCCATGCACGTCCCAGAATCAGACACCTACCTAAGAAACTGAAAACAGATTTGGAATTAAAATTCACAGTGCTGAAGTACAGATTCAGCAATGCAGGCACCATATTCGTAAATGCAGGTTTTCATGTGGACACTTCAGATGCCCCTGATCAACAATTTCTAAATATTAGAATAAATTTCATGTAGGTTTCTGGCACCATTTAGCGTTTTCTTTTTATGTGTTCTATGGAACCTTAATATTTGTTTCAGCACAGTACTTCCGTTCAAATAAAATGTTTTTATTATTCCTTTTCATTAAAAACAATATATTTTAACATATAGAAGCTTGCAAATCAAATTCTAGAAGATGTTTTACAGTATTACAGAGAAGAAATGACTAGAATGCTGAAACCACTGCAGTGCTTCTTGTAATCTAAGTATTAAAGAGTCTGGATTTGTAAACTGCTTAGCTCTCAGCTTGCTTGTGGTCCAGCAAAAAGAGTTAACTCAAAACTTGAATTGGAGAGAATTTGCTGAGTACTAGACATTTTAATTGAATAAACAGCATTATAGGGAGTAGGGGGAAACTGGGCCAAACCACAGCGATCCCTGGTAGAAGGTCTTTTGATCACTTCTTTTGATAATATTTTGGAGCGCAGGAAGGTCTGTAGCCATCATGAAAAAGTTTTACTGCTTTAATAATAACGTTGTGTCAAGTCGATGCCTACCTTTTGTATATAGAGACTTCTCCCCAGCCCACATTTTATTCTCACAACCTTGGGAAGTAGGTTTGGCGTGAGATAACACTAACCAACAATCAACCAATGTCTTTTTATGTGTAAGGATTTGAACTCTGTTCCTTGTAACTCAGCCTTCCAGCCTCCAACATCTTGGGGAAAGGAGTTAATTACCTTTTCCTGGGAACTGGAATAACATCCATGCCTGATATAGTCTCTTAGAAACCAACAACCCCTTGTCTTTTCTTTCTGTGCTCCAGCTGCTTTCTAAAAAAATACATATATGGTATGAGTGCCACGCTGCCTTCCTTTACATATCACTCAAGTGTGAAGAGTTTTGTATTAAATTGATTGTTTTGCACAGGTGATAACCAAATGGCCAAGCATTACTACTTAAAAATAACATTCCAATTTGTGGCCCAGCAGGAGGTACACTTGAAGCTTACTTGGAAGTAAAGACTAAGTCAGAAAGTGGAGCCTACTTGTAAGGATGAATGTGGGAATGAAACAAAATGGCTGTGGCTTTGGAAGCTGCCTGTAAGAATAGTGATTAAGACTATTAGAATAGTGTTAGTGATTAAGAATGGAGGAGTTTCTGAGCATTCATCGGAGTCAGCTGCATTTGAGGAAGGCCACAACAATAGTCGCAAAAAGATATGTATGAGTGGTACCCTAATACTTGGGAAACAGCTAGTGGTGGTGAAGAAGGAAAGTTATAAAAGGTGATATACTCCACACCTAACATTATTACAGAATTTGACTGAAAGCCACTTGTGTGTTCATCCAAAGCCTGTTTCGTGATAGGGGTTGAAAGTGCTGCACCTATTGCCTATGTCTGTGCATACTTCAAAAGTAAGGATGCTCTGCTAATATTGAGGGGCTATCTTTCGTGATAGGGGTTGAAAGTGCTGCAGCTATTGCCCATGTCTGTGCATACTTCAAAAGGATGCTCTGCTAATATTGAGGGGCTATGAAGAATCTGGATGTTGCATTCTCTTGTGACAAAAACAAAGTCGATCATTCAAATCTTAAGAACTTGCTTGTTCAGACTCTACCACCATCCAGATTGATTTAACAACAATGGTTTGACTAACTTGTAAAAACAAAAACAAAAACAGGTTCTCTATTTCACAGGCTATGTTACTGAAATCAGGCAACAGCAGACGAATTGCTGAGGTTTTTCATTATACCGTCATACTTCTTTTATGTAGCTTTAAAGCAGCCTATGCTAGGGTAGAGCCATACAGGGTCTTGGGGTTACCACCACTTGAAGCTACCCATGATAACTGGCTACAGCCCAAAAGCTGCATGAAGGCCGCACACTTATAACCACACACATGATAGTAAACTCCAGTGAACTCAATGAGACTGATTTCTGTGTAGACACAGAAGCATGCTGTAGGACACTAGAACCACAGAAGGTGATGACTGTAAAGCTAGCCATAGGCCAGATCTGGTAAAGCAGCCACTAAGTACTGCTTTTCAAATTGCATTTTTAAACAATCAGAAAGAGTATGTGCATTAAGCCTATCATGTGTCACACAAAGTTAATCCAGGGAAAAGCTACATGGAAGTCAGTGCCATTTTATCCTGATGAACTGTCACATTTTATAGCCAACATTTAAAGAGATTCTCTAAGGATCTCCCACAAGTACATCTGGCATTAAAAAAACAAAGATATGGTTAGCAAAGGAGTGTGAACATGAGTAAGGAATATATGTGAATTCTTTGAGCATTCTATTTTCTTTTGTATCAATAACACATCAATCATTCTGAAATAGTTGTGATACTCCCCCAACAAACAATCCTCAGAACATATATTTCAAGTAGCTATTGGTTGGTTAATACTCGTTTTGGCTTGCTCTTCTGGGACAGGTACTACAAAGCATTACTCTCCCCCACCCCACCCCCAAACTGCTGTAGAACCTAATTCTGCAGCCAATATGGGATGATGCAGGATTTTCCCATTCAATGCATGGCTTTCTTGGCTTACGATTTAGCTCTCTGCATTTCTAGTTTACATTTTCTAGCTGATTGCCAGGGCAGCAATCTCTGATTTGATTTAAACTGTGTGCCGGGTGAGAGGATTAACACTTCTATTTTCTAATGGTGCACATTAGAACCTGGCATCCTATGAAAGTACATGATATTTCAGTCAGATTCCAAGCCTACTTTCTCACGAGCAGACTAGCTCAGGCTCCTCAGTTCAGTCCATGTCTTGCACTGTCTGGTGTGCAGACTGCTGTACTAGAAGGCTCACAATGCATTTGCCCACCAGACTCACATCCTCTGTTCTTTCCCATTGTCCCTTCTTAGAAGTCCTGTTCCCATTTTATGGACATATCCAAAGAGTAAGCAAGACTGCTGAATAATCCTTTGCTTAGCTGCTGCTCAATTACAAGCTGTGCGACTGTCAGAAACTTAAAGAAAAATCTCTTCTTAGAATACCACAGGGTTTATGATGAGTTGGGACCTCCTCCAGGATCTAGATTCCTATCCAGAAGAGGCATTCTATGAGTCACTATGTGGCATGGCTTCTTATCCTCAATAGCACATTCATTCTTCAGTTTTCTGATCCTAATGTGAGTGGGAACCTTCAAGCAAGGGTTGGCTTCATGCCCCTGTTCCAGTCCAGCCTCTGAGGCTGGGTTGCACCCATTTCCTCCATGTGGCCCAGGTGCACACATCTGCCTGGAGGAACTACTAACAGTACCAGAATGAATGAAGGGCCTCATCCATTCTTCTGCTGTGGGCTAGTCAGGCTTGGATTCTTTTTAGCCCCCTTTCACATCTTCTTGCATTTGACATGCACAAAAAGGGTGGCTGGGGATAAAGACGCACCGTCCCTGGAGAGCAGATGGATATGACGGTAGCCTGAAGAAGAGAAAACGGGAACCTTGTTAAATAGCAACTTGGTTTTTGTTCCAGCAGTCCACTTCAATGGCTTCGTTTTCCCCCTATGTGGAGCAGGCAAGGCCTCTGCTGCCCTTCCACCTCTGCAGGGCTTGCTTGTCTGGTGGGCAGCTAGAGAGTGGCCGCCTGGAGGCACATCTTCAGACCAGCCGTCATGGCAGTCTCCCTGGCTGTCAAAGACACCTCTGCCTCTTCCATCCAGTCCTCAGCAGGACAACCCAGCCTTGCAGAGAAGGAAGGGCTCCCTCACACTATTTTGAAGGCCTACAGTGTGCGCTTTAAAATAGTGTCCACTGGGTTCCGTTTTAAAATATAGCAGGACTTCTGTCATGGAGAATATTGAAAATCATTTCACGTTCCAACTGGCTCCATGCAACTATGTCATTCCAGCCAATGACCGATGGTGGCTCTGCATTACAACTACAGGGGCTGGGGCAGGTAAGCAGGTGTAGGGTTTGGGGCAGGAGGCAAAGCAAACTGAACTACATGACATGCTCGTTGTTTTCCAGCTCTTTGGCAAAAATGTATAATGTCAACACTAGAGTCCAAATCTCTACAAGTACACTAAGCCTCCCAAAGGCTGCATACTGTCTGCAGCAGCATCCCTCAGACTCTGGGCTGCGAACCACTAGTGGGCTTCAGCCCATGTTCACTGAATCTCACTTGCTACAGTCAATCTAGCAATCTGTCGTGCCCTCTGGCTGCACCACAGCCAGTTGGCCTGGCAATTCGAAAGCATGCAAATGTGAGTAGATAAATAGGTACCACCACGGTGGGGAGGTGATGGCGTTCTATGCCTAGTCGCACTGGCCACGTGGCCACAGAAACTGCCTATGGACAAATGTTGGCTCTACGGCTTGGAGACAGGGATGAACACCGCCCCCTAGAGTTGGTCATGACTGGACTAAATGTCAAGGGGAACATTTACCTTTTTACTACATACACAGGCACTTGTCAGAGTTTGAACCTGTTAAACTACATAGATATGCAACTACAGAGAAGGCACAAAAGAGAAGGATTCGGAAGATGGAGTAGCCAGCCAAGTGTGAAGAAGGAAGAAAGAGAAAAGGGAAGAATGGAGGTGACAAGGACAGATGGAGAGAAAGAAAGGACAAGAAGTTGCCCAGAATGGCTTTTGTGCCTTCTGGATGCTGTGATGTTTACTTTCTCTCTCAGAAGAACAACACACTACTGGATAGTAGCTCTGGGCAAAGGAAAGCCTGCAAATGGGCATGGAGAGAAGTAAAAGTAATTTGGGTAGAATGGTGGAGTGTGGAAAAAGTATTCTCTAGTTAAAAGCCTGGATCTGTAAATTCTGCCCTTAATGGAAAGCTTCTGGCAAAGGGTTTAGCAATTCCCAAAGGCAGATTAGATTTCCATAGCAATTGTCAGCTGAGTATGCCAACTCTCATCTCCAACTGCTGCTATTCTGTGACTAGCTTGGCCCCTGCACTGCCATTTTATGATCAACTTATCTTATTGTTTCCGGTTCTGACAAGGGAAATGATAGAGGGTAGAAAGCTTCAGAACTTTACTCCAGAAATTCTAGGTCATCCAGCTAGAGCAGAGCAGCAGCAAGCAGGATGGGCAGAAGTATCCAGGGATGCAGGCACTCCAGAGCTTTCCTGAAACTGGAAAAGAGAAACTCACCTTCCTTTACACTGAGCAACGGCAGGGTGAACTGTCCCACAAAATCATTGCTGGAAGTTGTGTCATAATCCTCCACTACCAAGCGCACCAGTGCCAGCTCTGGAACACGTACCTGGAAGGTCAATGTCTCATTCCAGCATGGATTGAATCCTGCAGGGAGGTAATCACAAGGAGGAGAAATTTAGAAGGAGAACACTGTGGAAGGGCCTCTGCTGCCTTGCAACAAGATTCCGGGGAACTGCTGGACAGCTCAGTGGTTTAGGTCTCTGGCTGTGGAGTCAGAGGCTGGGAGTTCAATTCCCCATTGTGCCTCCTTGAGAAGGGTTGGACTTGATGATCCATAGGGTCCCATCCAGTTTCGCAGTTCTAAGATGATGATGATGATGATGATGTGACAGGTTGGTTTTATTGGCTGGAAATATGCTTTGAAAATTAAAACGACAAAACCTAAAAATTCTCAGAAAGGTGATTTGCATACTTAATTTTGGCTTTTCTTGCACTAGAAAGATTATGAAAACAATTATGTACTTCATGAAACTAAATGAAACTTATCCAGAACCTTATTTTAGGCAAAATAGGACAGCTCCTTTTGGCTGATCAGGAGCAGGTACGTATAAGCAGGCTTAGTATAATTGCAACATCCCTCAGAATTCTCTAGCCTGCATGCGGGTGGGGAATGCTGACAGCTATAGTCCAAAAATACCTTTCCCAGGACCTGGAGGTTAGAACTTTGCATAGATTATAGTCCAGCACTAAAAGCAAATCTCTGTCTAGCATCTCAAGTAGAGAATTTTCTTAGGTGTAACAGCTGAAATACTTTTTTATACACTGATGCTGAAATTTTACCTGGGACTTTTCAATAGGTATGTGTGCATGTGTGCATGCATGCATCCATGTCTGTCTTATTGCACTACCATAAGATGGGAAACCTGTGCCTATCCAGATGTTATTGAAGTATACACCTATCATTACAGATCATTGGCTATGCTGGCTGGGGCTGATGGGAGTTGGTGTTCAACAGAATCTGAAGGGCTACAGATTCCTTACCCTTTGCACTACAGTCATTCTTTATTTTCTCCAGTCCTAATCCCTACTTTACCATTGTTTAACCGGTATTCAGTTTGTTTCTTGCAGCAGTCTACAGGAACTCCATGGATCTCCACACGCACAAAAGGATCCACAATAGAGGACTTCTTTTCTTTATTTAGTTTTGGCAGCTGCTGAGCTGTGATCACCTGCCCAGAGAGGGGAAAATAGGAAGAAAAAAAATATAGAGAGGCTTTTCCTCTCTGTACTATAACACTTGATATTGTTTTTACAGCATCTCACAAATCTTGAAAGCAAGTAGGAATCAAAAATAAAGGTCCATCAATTATATGATAAACATTTGAAAATACAACCCCAAGTTCAAAATCAACCAGCATCAGATGAGCTATGATCAGAGGGAGGTCTGCTCAAGTGGGTGGAAGAGGGGTTTTCAGTAGATTAAGCTGGCATGACGAGCAACCGAAATTCTCTCTTTTACACAACTGTCCCAGACAGAAAGGAGTCCTGTTTTGTTTTGCTTTGTTCCAGTTCATTTCATTTCTTTCTTTTTTGGCACACTTGTGCACCCTTTCATTACGGGTGGAGAGAAAATTATAACTCCATACTCATATGAGATATCTAATTTCTACATTAAAACAGAAGGCATTGACATCCACAATTTCTTCTTACTTCCCATAATTTATTCTGCAGGTTGAGCTATGTTGTGTAACATCTTTTGGCAATGACAATTACCCTGAAGTCTTTCCCCAGCCACTGACAATTGTGCAGCTTCTTGGACCTTGGTAGGCACAGCCCACACACATCTAGATGCATTTTTGTAGCCCAGCAGGTTAGAAACTGCTCTCAGGCAAAACCAAACAATCATAAATTTGTTAGGAAGCTGAATTATGCACCAACCAACATGTTCTGCACTATTTCTGAGCGTTGCGGGACTGCAACATATATATATCTGGCCCTAACTAATTAATCCAATTAAGAATGTCCAACAGCACTTTTGGTTGAGATGCAACTATTTTCTGCACAATTATTATGGGTAAACACCAAACCATTAGAAAAATGGAAAAACCTTTTGCACATAGATGTTCTACCTGTTACTATACCTTGATGGTGAGGGCAATTGGCCGTTGGCCAGTCCTCCGACTTGGGGCTTCAGGATCAAAAGTGCTCTGGCTGTTTCTCAGGAATGAAGGTTTGAGCACGTAGCCACAGCGGCCATTCACCGAAAAACGTCCATCATTCAAATCCATCTCTACCCCTGGGGTTTGGAAATTAAGGGCCACTAGAGGATAGGCAGAGGAAGAGAAGAGGATAGGTTTGACTGAGCCCATAAAACATGAATTCCACTGAGATTCAGTTTTATGTGAATTTGCATAGAAACTGATTGTCAGTTCACAAATGATCTAATCAGTACAAGGCAAACACATGGCTATACAGTGGGGTCTTGACTTAAGAACGGCTTGAGTTAACATTTTGACTAAAGAACCACTCTCTTAGGAAAATATTGACTTGACTTACATACTTAGATTTGAGTTAAGAACTGAAAAAAAACCCACGTGGGAGGGCACATAGATGTTCTACCTGTTACTATACCTTGATGGTGAGGGCAATTGGCCGTTGGCCAGTCCTCCGACTTGGGGCTTCAGGATCAAAAGTGCTCTGGCTGTTTCTCAGGAATGAAGGTTTGAGCACGTAGCCACAGCGGCCATTCACCGAAAAACGTCCATCATTCAAATCCATCTCTACCCCTGGGGTTTGGAAATTAAGAGCCACTAGAGGATAGGCAGAGGAAGAGAAAAGGATAGGTTTGACTGAGCCCATAAAACATGAATTCCACTGAGATTCAGTTTTATGAGAATTTGCATAGAAACTGATTGTCAATTCAGAAATGATCGAATCAGTACAAGGCAAACACATGGCTATAGTAGGTTGCAAGGAAGTGTGGGCCAATAGACTAGCAACACTGTAACATTAATGCAAAAATGTGCTTTGAGAAGAGAGTTCAGTTTTAAAATAGGCTGTTTTTAATGTTTTTCCCAGTTTAAATTAATGGAAATGATCATGCGAAAAATTAATCAATTGCAAAGGTGCTTTGTATAAGCAAGGAAGTGTGGGCCAACAGACTAGTAACACTGTAACATTAATGCAAAAAATGTGCTTTGAGAAGAGAGTTCAGTTTTAAAATAGGCTGTTTTTAATGTTTTTCCCAGTTTAAATTAATGGAAATGATCATGCGAAAAATTAATCAATTGCAAAGGTGCTTTGTATAATTTTCTTATACTATGCTGCCCATGATTTCTTGGTTTAAAAATATTTCTTTGCCACTTACTATTTGAGAGCTTGCTAACCTTTTCAGAATCCTGCCTAAAGAATAAAGTAAAACAAACAAAATGGGTGCAAGCACTTTCCATTGTGGCATTCCTGAGACGCGAGATAAATCTAAGCTTTTGTCTACAGACCACAGAAGACCTGGGACCTAAACTCTCTTATCTGCTCTTTGATAAAATGCTCTATCCCTGCCCGTGTGCACTTTGCCCTTTAAACAAACAAGGATTCTGTCATCAGACCTTCCAAATTCTACAGGGGAGAAAAAAAAAACACAGTGTTATGCGTACATTATGCAGATATTTTAAACGTATTCTGCACTTTCAATAATTTCACCTTGTTTTACTAGGCTTGGCAGGGGCAAGGGCACTGAGGCCAAAGCTTACAAAAATTACTTTTTGGGAGCCCAGCTACCAGAATTTTGCACAGTCAGTGGCCATGCTAGCTGGCAGCTCTTGGGAACGGCAGTCTTCCAGTTCTGACTCAGACCTTGCCTTCAGCCACCAATAACTTTAGTTTCCTGCTTCTGTAACTTCTTCCAGGCATGGCCGCTATGTAAATAGTTCATCTGTGGAGTGGACAGGTCAGAAGGCATCCACTGGCCCTGGCTTCACCGCCAAGCATTAACTAGATGGTTAAAGTACCATATTTGGTGCTTCTCGTAGCTCATGTTTTCCACTTACCAAGCTGGCAGCCAGCATTCCACATTTCCTGAGGATTATAGTTGGAGGAGTTCATCTTGAGACCTAGTGGGTAGATGCGGCTCAGGTGCTGAACGTTGTATCGGACAAAGCTGTTTCCTGCAAGCAAGAGAGACAGAAGAAAACAGGTTACAGCCCAAGGCTAAAGGGAAAAGAAAAAGAGGCAACTGGTGACGGTGCTGACTTCATTGCACTTAACTAAAGGATGAGGAGTGTGTGGCCCTATAAAATCCTGTTTGGACTACAGCATCCATCATCCCTTGATACTGGCTAAACTGGATACGGCTGATGAAATCTGCCGTCAGAAAGATTTGAAAGGGCACACATCCCCACCCCAGACCTACCCAGTTACCAAAGAAAGCAGTATATCCACACCCAGTTGGTGCACATTTTAATGTACTGGTCATATGACCAGTGCATTCATCTTCTGCCAGATAAACAGAATCATGGAATTAAAAAGTCACCAAATCCAAAGCATCTCCTTTTTCTGTATCTATAAGGTTTTGTTCTGCCATCTCTTTCTCCGGTCACAGACCCTGACTACTTCAGATTAGTAATCCAGATTGTTGTAATCTGTCAATAAATTAATCCAAATTCTGCAGTGTGTATAAATTTAAAAATATTCTGCATCTGTTCATGCTCCTAACCACATAAAATGACATTACACTGTGTTTTGTCCAATCTTTACCAAGACCAATTTAAATCACGCTGTACCTCAAGGTGATTTGGCCCTAAATGCTGTATCTTGATCACAAAACTGGTCAGCCTTTTTACAAAATGTTAAACCAGACTTTTAGTGAATGAGGAGCACAGATCCACTCATCTTATTTACTCCTTTTTCCCAGGAGTAGATACAACTAACCACGAAGGGTTAATCCTCTACTAACATAATTTGCTACTTTAATAGCTTAATGTAACCCTTGAAATTCAGGGCCCTGTTTTGTTTCTCTGAAAGAAGCCACCACATTCTTTGCATACTTAGGAAAAACAAGCCAAGATCCTGGATATGGATTAAGGATGGACAAATCTGTCAAGCTTCTTTCTTTCACATTCAAGTGCTTTAAATCTCAAATTCTTTCCATTGAATTTATAAGAAAATTGGCAAATATCAGAAAGCCACCTTTTAGTGACACCATAATTGTTAAGCCGGGTTCTATAAATGTCTCTTATTATATGTATTGCACACTGATTTGCTCTATGTCCTAATCTTTGCCACACATAACTTCACCTTTTCATTTTCCACCTTTAAACACCAAGCTGCCGTTACTTCATCGAACGAGAGGAGATGACTCTCAAAGAACGTCTCAACCTACCAGACATCTCCAAGACCTCTCCGAGGAGAGCCCAGCCATACCTGATTCTTTGATCAACTTCCTGGCTTTCCGTTCACTGAAAGATGACATCTCGGTAGGTTTCTGGTGGTGCAGAGCCCGAGGAAAGCTATGGAACGGGACGGCCCGACAATAAACAACCACATCAGACAGCTCACGTGAAATCTGTACAGCATCCTTTGCCTGGAAAAGGAAAGAGGGAGGGAGGGAGGGAGGAAGAGAGCCGTGATAATAACCCTATACACAGATTACATCAGATTTGCTCACTATAGCTAGACATCTTCTGGTGGGTGGCATTAAATCACATATAGGCCCCCAAGCACCATTGCTTTCCCGAAGTAGTTGCATTCCAGTGATGGCATAACAGCTTGCACTTTTAGACAAATAAACAGGGCATGCGGCAGCCATACACCTGGTTCTCAAGGCTCCATGTTTTGAAGATGGAGTGTACTTCTTGAACACTTCCGGAAGTGTGATACCCTTAAAAACATGGCAAATGGAAATGGTAACCTGCTAAGGGGGTCACTTTTGCTGGCACTGCACCACCAAAACTCTGTGGCATATATGGCACAGGGCCACCAGGACTTGCATGAGGCCTCTTTGTTGACCGCTCTTGTTGTAGGTAACTGCTCGCCTGGCACCCTACAGGGAAGAGGCTAAAAAGAGCCTTCAGACAGTCAATCAGGGAAATTTTTGTAAATTCAAAGGTGGGGTGACTTCTTCATTTCTTGGCTCAGGTCACTGCTGTGCTGCAAAACACCATTAAAATGCTTTTCTATGTCTGCACACAGGGACAAAAGCCTTGGAAATAGGGGCACCTGCTTACACGTCACTAAAATGGTGGCACCTGTTTGAATAAAGTTGCATATACTGATTTATATGCACTGATGCAAAATTGGATAGGACTTTAAAATTTAAAGAGGATTGCAATACTTTTCACTTGAGTGAGGAAGACAGTCAGTAGGTGATCTATTTGTCTGATCATTCTGCTGTCCAGGTGTTCACTGTGCAGGGGCAACTTCAAGATCCCTGCTGTCCCTCCTTGTGGATCTCTAAAGCAGTCTTGGACTGGACAGCCCGGTAAACAGAGAACACTGTCAAAAAGAAGAGTGTCCTCCCCAAAAGAGGTCACGTGGTCACCCTAATTAAGCCAGTGAAAAATGCTTGTGAGCTAGGAAGTCACATTTGTGGCCTTGCTTACACAAGGTTGCATAACTATTGGCCAAGAGTGAATAATTTCTAAGGCCCAGGGGACATCCAGCTGGCCAAGATTCCAAGCATTATGGAAGTTTCAGCACTTTTCTTTTTCAAGATCTGGCTGTCCACAGCACCAAAAGCAAAGCAAAGCAAAAAGCAAAGCAAAGCAAAAAGCAAAGCGTGCTGCTTATATACCACATCATAGCACTTCAAGCACTCTCTGGGCAGTTTACAAGTTAAATATGCAGGCTACACAGTGCCCCCCCCCCAGCAAGCTGGGTACTCATTTTACCAACCTCGGAAGAAGGCTGTGTCAACCTTGAGCCAGCTACCTGGGATTGAACCCCAGGTCGTGAGCACAGTTTTGGCTGCAGTACAGCAGTTTATCCACTGCACTACGAGGCTAATCAACCTCTGCTGTAGTACAGCAAAACGTAAGCTAGCCACCATTGGCCAGCTGCCTTAATGCATGGAGCTCCCCACTTGTTCAAGGACTTTACATGTCCTCTCATACTAGTATTCATTAAAAGAAAGCCTATTACTGAAAAGGGCTGAGGCAGGCTGCGAATCTCATGCCACTTCCTGTTCTGTATGGGGTCTGTCTTGTGGGGAAAGCTAGGTGCCTCTTTTCCATGGGATTCTTCCTGTGCGCCTGGTTGTGTTCTACACCCCACATAACCCACAGTGCCTGAAACCATCTCCTTGAGCAGGGGGTCTTCAAACTTTGCACACAGAGGGTAACGTAATATATTTGCAATATTTCTGTGGGCCGAAGAAATGTGCACACACGTATGCACACACTCCCGCCTATCCCCCGCCTACATTCCTACCCAGCCTCCCGCATGCCCACTCTCACGTAGACACCAACCCGCGTGCACACACTCCCACCTGCAACACACACACACACCCTTGCCTGCCTCCCACATGCACGCACACAGAGATGCATACATGCATGCCCCCTTGCCTGCCTGCCTGCACACGCGCATGAGCTGAAGGCAATGGGCCGGAGAAAATAGCAACATGGTCTGTGGTTAGTAGTTTGAAGACCCCTGTTATAGAGAGTCTTTTAATGAAATACAACCAACCAGAATCTTTCCCTGAATTTAACCATAAAGCTATCAACCCACAATCCAAGTGAAGAGAAACCACTACAATTGGATTAATATGCTGGCGGTGGACAAGATGCAGCTTCACGCACTTGGCCCATTCATCTGCTCGCTGTCACAACCTCTTCCAAAAAGTGGGAGTACTCACCTGCAATGGTTTGATCTCTTGGAGGGAAGATATTGACTGAAAGTGGGGAACATATTGAAGGGAAGAAGGAAAAATGGTCTTGTGAGAAATACCAAATGTATCTGTTTCCAAAGGAGCTCATCTAAGAACTTAGAATGAGCATGCTAGATTTCATCAACCGTACTATGTTCAACCGCTCATCATCATTATTCCAACCGTAGCCAACCAATGCTTCTAGGAAGTCCACAGACAAGACATGGAGGCAGGAGTCTTCTCTTTTCACTGTTCCTTAGCGTGTCATATTTGGTGGCATAGGGTCTTTGACTCTTGGATTCTGTGTAGTCAATTCCAGAAAGAGCTTGGAAATGTTACTCTTTTTAACTCTCAGAATCTCCCAGAATCCTAGTACTCATGCTGTTTGTAATATTCTGGAAATTATGGTCCAAAACTACTTTTTCCAAGCTCAGTCTAATAACCATAATAGATTCTTCCTCTTCAAATTCATAAAAATCCTTCTTTAAAGTTTTCTAAGCTTTATAACCCACACCATAGTCTGTGGCAGCAAATTACATAAATTATACACTTTGGGATGAAATATGGCCCTCTGTCAGTCTAAACGCTATTATAAACTCATATTTATTTGTTCAGCTGCCCTGTCACTGCCTCCCCACCCTGAAATAATCCTGGAGACAATGATTTGGCCAGGGTGGGGGCACCGAGAATCCACTCCCAGAACAAGAGGTAAGCCAAACAAATATGACAATTTGAGGAGTTCTACAGCCTGCTGCTAATTGTTCATGTTCTGTCAGAGAACAACCAAATAAAAGGCCACTTTTGTTAGGAAGGACAGAATAATTATAATTACTTCAAATTATACACAAGGAACATACAGAGAAGACGTTTCGACCCACTAAGAGGCTTCTCAAGGTTTAAAATCTTATCTCCCCATTTTATTCATGTTTTAGTCTGAGCCATTCTAAGAGATTGAGGCGTAGTGCAGAGTGAATGACAAATTTAATTCAGCAAACTGTGTGCCTCAGTTAAAGCTGGGCAAATGCTGGCACAAACTTTTGCAAACCAGTGGTAGCAAGATTAGAGCTATAAGAGCTTGTAGGGCATTCAGAGGTCCAACCAGCTATGTCCTCCACCAGTATATGCCATTCCCATTCCCACCCTACCCTGGTCTTCCATTTCCCCCAAACAGCCTCTGAAATCTACTGCTATTGAGCACTTCGGGGTTCCTACCTGTTCAGGACTCCCCCCCCCCCAGGATTTTGTTGAACTTTTGCAAAAATGTAAGAGTTCCCAAAAGGGAGATGATAGCAGCTTTTTTTAACAGTAGTTTCATTTTCAATATAACACCGCCTACACTCACCCATCTGATTTTGCTATTAAAGAGGGCAACAGAGTACCCTAGATATTTTCCACTCCATTGTCTGTTGGAATGCTTCCAGGCAAACATTTTTATCATGCTTTATTCCCACCATATTTACAGAATAGTACAGAGGGTGCAGACAACTGCATCTGCTGTCATCTTTTCTTGCTACTCCTTCCTTGTTTTTTTTTCCCTTACCAAAGAAAATCATTAAGGAGGAAAAGAGGGAATGACTACATAACAATGCTTTTTGTATTTCTAGGGCCTGTTGGTCTGGAAGAACTCTAGGTCATCCATTCTGGAAAAGGAACAGAAACCGTGTCTCCTCACCCTGTCATCGTCATCTTCCTGCATTTCCTCTTCAGGATTGAAGATGAAGTTTATTCTTTCAGGGTCACTCTTGTCCTCAAGTAGTTTCTTCCCCTTCACCAATATCTTCCACTTTAACTGCTATAAGAAGAGAAACCAGGAATGTCAGCTGTTTAACAACACTTCCTAGGTGGAGTTCTAATAATCCAGTTGAGGGACCTGAACCGGCTCCAGAAAGCAGTGGGGTCAAGAACCTGCCATAAGCTCATGACTAGGAAAAGGAAGTGTCTGAGGAAGTGGAGTTGTCCACAGAAGTTCACATTAAAACATAACAGTTAAGTCTTTAAGGCACCACAGTCTTTTTGCCTTTTTTATTTTTTTTATTTTGTTTTTCACTAACACTGCTGCCTTTTCTAAGTCGAGCAAAAGTTTCACCACTCTGCTCTCAATTTACTTCTTCAAAACTTAAGGGTGATTATTATTATTTGTGAGGTGCAAACATAAATTTGACATCAGTTCAGTCACAAAACAGTTTTGAAGGCAGGGGTCCTGTCCCCTTCAACGTATCTTGCCTGCTGGGGGGAAGCGACTCTGAGACATTAAAGAATTTAGCAGTGGGCCCCACCCAATAGACAGACACCAATAACTCATCAAGGAATGATTGCCATGGCTCCCAAAAATCTGAAGTGGGTGAAGACAGAGGGATTGGCTACATCCAGGAAAAATAGCATAAGCAGGGTATGACGGCAGTGTGTCAAAGATCACGGAAGATGTGCCAGACCAGGGCCTCCCGCTGTGCCTGGCCAACACAGCAACCTCAGCCTGACCCACCTGCAGCTTTGAAACTCCTTCTCCAGTTGAAGCATTTCCATCTTCAGTATCTGAAAACTGTCACTAACTGCTCTAAAGAATTTGGAATTCAATCACAAAATGCTTCAGGGGCTGTTTTGTGGTTTTGCGCGTACTATATATCACGGATCCCCAACCCCCGGTCCGCAGGCCACTGCCGGTCTGTAGTCTTCGCAGGACCGGGCTGCGGAGACAGATCTCCTGCCCACCTGTACACACTCCCTCCACGCACGTCCACACGCACACACAGCCCACACGCACAGGTGCCCCATCCACCCACACATGAGCACGGGCACGCCACACCCACCTGCAAGCGCACTACGCTCACCTGCACGAGTGCACCCCACTCATCCGTGAGTGCACCATGCTTACTCGTGAGCACACCACGCCCACCCACGAGTGGGGGTGCCCCACCCCCCCTAAGCACAGATTCCCCCAACTGGTCCACAGTTCGGAAAAGATTGGGGACCACTGATATATATCACCCAACATTTCCTTCAACAACTCTCATTAATCCTTCATTACATCTTGATTGTTTTGTTCACTGATTCCTAGTGGTGTGCCATTTGTTTGTCATAGTCATTTGTGTGAACACTTACTCTCATGTGAAAAAGAAAGTACAGTACACCCTCTATGAATTCTATGGTTTTACATATCAGGACTAGAGATTCCCATGAATTAAGCTGTGCTGCACCACACAAAGTCCTCCACATGGTATCACAGGTGCCATGTGTTCCCTCCGTCCACCCCAGAGCTGGCTGGCCCACTCACAGTCTGTCGCACACTGCCAGGGTCCTCCTTCTCTGGTGGCGCTCCAGTCTGGGCAGGAGCTCCCCTGCCTTCTCCAGCAGCCAAGCACTCAGACAATGAGATGGGAGACAGGGATTCTCCCTGTGCAGTCTCTGAGACCTCAACCTGATTTAAATGCCGTGGTGGGACACTAAGAGAGCTGTACGTAAACAAATACTCACAAACCTTAATGAACTAAAACAATGTTGTAAAGAAAAGTGGGCCAAAATTCCTCCACAATGATGTGACAGACTGATAAAGTCATACAGACAACAATTACTTCACATTATTGCTGCTAATGGTGGTTCTACAAGCTACTGAACCATAAGGTGTACTTAGTTTTTCACACATGGCTTCATTTTGGCTTTGTTTTTGTAAAATAAACCATGACATGGTATAACATGTCATGAGTTGTTGTTCACCCAAGATTGTATTTACCTAATTTTCAGACCTGTTAAGGACCTCATGAGTTTTATTATGTCCTGATACGTAAAACCACAGAATTCAAAGAGGGTGTACTTTCTTTTCCACATGACTATACCCTTTCACCTCATATAATGCCTATCTAGCACCAGGCCTTACATCCATATGAACTGACTGGACCCACTTGTGATTGTGGAGCCTTGCCAATTTACAGAATTTTTTTTTTAAATCAAAACATATACTTGCAGCACTTCTTGCTCCTAAGAAGAGCTTTTCCAATATCAGTCTGGACCAATAACAAGCACCTTGCTAACTGGACAATTACAACATGGTTATGCAAAACAAAGAGCTTTGTTGAGTTCAAGAAGGAAACAAGAAAAACATGAAAAAATCCTGGCAACAGTTCAACTGTTCCATTAATTGTAGCTCTTTCAGCTTCTGTTCTCCTTTTTGTAAACATGTGGGCTATGATCACCACTCAAGTGCAAACTTAATACTGGTATTAAAACAGATGTTGACTTGTTTGTTTAAAGCACGTTTTTAAGCCCTTGGGGCCATGAAAACAGAAATTATCTACTTGTCAAATCAATTTCCTCATCTTCTTCAGTTTGCTCCTTGTTACCTTGCCCAGACTTCTACATCCTGGTTGGTCACATAGCCATACAGTGGACCCTTGACTTACAGACGGCTTGACTTACAGACTTTTTGAGTTACAGACTTCTCTGGCCGCAAAATTAAGGTTTGACTTGCAGACTGAGATTTGACTTACAGACCAGAAAAAAACCAAAATGGAACAAAAATGGCCTGTTACAGGATTAATCGGTTTTCAATGCACTGTAGGTCAATGGAGACTTGACCTACAGACTTTTTGACTTGAGAACCGCCTTCCAATACGGATTAAGTTCTCAAGTCAAGACCCCACTGTACAAGGTACATCATCCAAATATCTGAAGGGCTCCAGGTGCCTAACTTTGAAGGGAATTGGTCCTTAAATATATAGCTGACAGCAGAAACAGCAGCAGATGGTATTACCTCTGGTGATGGGAGCTGTTTGGGCGTGTTTCCATCCAAAGGTTCCGTCAAGAGCATATCTCCTAAAATATCCTTCATGTGGCGGGCCATTGTGGATTGCTGTTCCAGACCACAGTGGTTTTCCAGTGAGAGAATCAAGGGGTAAGGTGAGTCCTGAGAATACAAAATTGGGTCAGAAGGTAACTGCTATCTGCTAAATTCATCTCATTCTCTATTATCAGTCTTCTTCCCTTATACACCTTTTTTGAGCGGAGGTCTCTTACATAAACCTCTAGTGATGTGGTGCTGCTGCGGGTTAAACCACAGAAGCCTCTGTGCTGCAAGGTCAGAAGACCAGCAGTAGTAAGATTGAATCCACGCGACAGAGTGAGCCCCTGTCGCTTGTCCCAGCTCCTGCCAACCTAGCAGTTCGAAAGCATGTAAAAATGTGAGTAGTTAAATAGGTATCACCACAGTGGGAAGGAAATGGCATTCCATGTCTAGTCGCACTGGCCATGTGACCACGGAAGATTGTCTACAGACAAAACGCTGGCTCTACGGCCTGGAAACGGGGCTAAGCACCGCGCCCTAGAGTCGGATACGACTGGACAATTTGTCAAGGGTAACCTTTTCCTTACCTCTTACATATAGAAGATTCTCATCTTTTGATAAGATTAGAGATGCTAAACACTTCACAAAATACAAAAATAAGATAAAGCTTTTCACACTGGTGGGCCTTTATGCAAGATTTTAAAACGTAGCTCTTGATTTTTTGCCTGTTACAAAGCAATTAAAAGCACCTAAAGGCTTATGTTAAAAGGAAAGATGGCAGCTACCAATGTATTGTGAGCTGTAAGAAAGGTAATCAGTTGTATACTGAGCATCTGCCAACCCAAGCAGATGCATTTAACATATTAAACAAATGGGCAGTCTGCAGTGAAAGCTTACATCAAAATTAATGTGTTCATCTTGGAGATGCACCTGGGCTGTCTAATATTGCGACAATAGGCAGAAAACAATAAGAATCCTGCTGACTCAGGTCAAAGGCCTCCCCAGTATGGCATCCTGTTTTCCACAGAAGCCAACCAGGTGCCTGCTGGAAAGCCCACCAGGTCAAGAGCATCCTCTCACTTGTATTCTCCAGCACCCAGTAATCAGATTAACACTGTTATTCCTTTGGAGTTCTTTGGAACATGGCTATTTTATAAAACGATATGATGAATACACTTCCTGGTTCTGTGAACAGGCACAACTTTGAAGGTATACGTTACCAATTATAGCGACCATCTTTTGATAAAGAGGGGCGTTTTGTTTGTTTGTTTGAACATTTATATTCAACCCTACATCATAAGATCTTGATACTGGGTACAAGAAAAGCAATGTAATTTAAATAGTTTAAAACACACATACAATTACATAAGTTAAAAATTCAATACATAGAAGGCAATTGGAGCAATTTAAAAGTACATACACCCATACATATAACAAAGAACTCAACAATCTACTTCAGACAAGATCCTACACTTCAAAGGCACTGATGAACAGCCATGTTTTAATTTCCTTCCAAAATTATATCAATGTCATCACAACGAAACATCCCAGGAGAGAGAGCATTATACAGTCAAGGTTCTCTAGCCAAGAAAGCCCTTACCATTGTTTCTGTACAGTGTGCTGTTAACAGTTATGGGACACAGATGAGCACTTTCTAGTAGATCTTAATGACTGGACTACATGTACACGGAGAGGTGCTCCCACAAATATCTAGATCCCAAGCCATATACCACTTTGCAAGTCATCATTGAAATCTTGAACTCATTCCAGAATCCTGTTATTTTCCAGTACACTTCTTCATATGGTTTCCAAAAGGTGTTCCTACCAATGCTCTAGCTTTTGCTGCTTGCTCTCACTGTGGCATCTATGCTATTTTCAAAGGCAGCAACACAGAGAGTGCACAGCAGTAGTCTAACTGGGAGAATTGGACATCGTACACTCCCTTTTTCTAAGATGCAGATTGATGGGCTCAGTAACCTCATATGGATTTCACTACACTTGAACTTCCATAATTCATTAATCTCAGAGAAGTTACAAATAGATTGGTTAATTAAAGAGAAAGCAAGCATTCAGCCAGGCACTGCTGTTCCCAAAGCAGCATCAGCCCAGCATTCCTAATATGTTAGAAACTGCTTCTGATAGACAAAACACTGTTAAGCATTTTTTTTCCAAGCCAATTAAAAAACCTAAGTATGGCTGCTTCCCCCACCAAACACACGTTGCAAGGAATATTAGGAACTGCAATTCTCCTTACCTTAAATGCATAATCCCGGATGCTTTGAATTACATCCCGAAAGAGGATCTTGGAGGTGAGGGTGTGGCCATGGTAGATGATGGGTTCTCCATTGGACCCCTCCCAGCAGTCAAGCTCCACACAGCGACATCCTTTCATCAATGCTCTGCCAACGAGAGTTTGGGGGGTGGGGGAATAAGGCAATGGACTTTGTACTTCATCCCTGCAGCCAATCCAAGGGAAAATAGACGAAGCCTCGTGTGAAAGAAGACAGGAGCTTACGCCCTTCTTCTGCTCACATCCAGCTGATTGGTCTTCTAGGTAGGCAAGATGCTGCCTGAGGCCAATCTGAAATGAAGCCTAGTTTAGGCCTGTGCAAGTCTGGTATGTTTAATTTAAAGCTTTACACATAAATTTCAAAGGTGGTACTACTGGAGTTCATAGAATTGACACAATCATATGCAAATCAGCAACCATTCCAGAAGACAGCCTTCCAAAGCAAAATACCATAGACTGGCTAGCATTCATCAAAACAGTGGATCCCAAAGATGGCCATTCTTAAAAAAAAACATGGGCATACTTATTTTCATTTTCTCATGCTTTTCTGAGAGACGTGACATGTGGAACACGTCGGGTCTCTTTCCCCTGGTTTTACAGGGCACCAATGACTTCAGTTCAACCCAGGTAGAGCAGCAAGGAGAACTGTCAGCACTTGGCCAAGCTCAGAGCCCAAAATGGGGAGGGGGCAGGAGGCAGATGAAACCACTGAGGACCGACAATTGTCAGGTTTTATATCAGGAAAACAAGGTCGGTAGATAATATAGGTCTAAAAGCAAATCACAAGTCAAGGACAGGACAGGATAGATAAAGCAAAGCAAAATTGTGAGTTTCACAGGTGTGCAGATCTGGGATTTTAGACTACAACTCCCAGAATTCCCCATACAGCATCACTACATAAGAAGTTCTGGGAGCTATAGTCCAAAACTTCAAACCTTCCCACCAGTACTCAGTTTGTGTTTTTACTTGGTGAGGTAAGTTGCTCAATTTAAGGAACAACCCAGAACTGGATGGGCTGCCCTGGTTCTTTAAGTTCACTGCTCCAGTCAAACTGGTACATTGCATTACTTTCACTGGCCACTACAAGGATGATGCTACAACAAAGGAAGCTTCAGGTCAATAACTTCTGCAGCCTGCAAGGACTAAGATAGTTGGCACTACTGCCTGAATTTCTGGTGTGCAAGTGCCTTACAGTGAATCACATGAATGAAAGGCTAACCTGCTAAACAGGCCTGCTTTTTATCAGACTCTGCTTAGTATTATCTACTAATGTCAAGTTGTAAACAGCTGGTGCCATTCATGTACGGGGTACATAGAGTGATTTTTCACATTGTTTCTTTGGAGATTATGGGTCACATAATTAGTGGAACCACCTGAGCCTGAGAAAAGTGACATAAAGAGAAAGACCGAAAAGGCGATTCCCACACTAAATACCTAAGAAAGATCGTTCCTTTTTCAGCCTTCCTACCTTGCCATGTGGCCACAATCCTGTTGTTTAGTGTAATAAGTCACACTAGACTAGGTCCACTGGATCAATGGGTGTTGGTGAGTCAATTCTTCCACAAATTCAATTGGTTCAAATGTGTCTACTTTAACTACAACTTATTTTAGTATAGTAAGTCACACTTAGAGTAAGCCTATTTGAATCAATGGCACTTACAGGGGAGTTTACTCACTAAATCCCTATTGATTAAATGGGCTCACTCTAATACACTTTGCCACACTAAACAACAGGATTTGGGCCTTATTCAGAAGGCAACCCCACCAAACAGCTAGCCAGGTGTCCTCTCTTCCAGTCTGTGGTTATCCATGTTATCCCACAACTGCCTGTTGCTGTGAATACACAAAGGCTTGCTGATATCTTCAACAATGCAAACCAGTTGGCCATTAAAAGGATTAGGACTGTCATTTGCCAATCCCTTGACTTCTAAAAGCCACAGCGGGAAGCAATGTATAACAGTTACATTGCTGGATTTGTGAGATTTAGGTTCTAATCCCCAATGAGCTGTGAAAGTTATGGGGTGACCTTGGGCCACCTGCTCGCTCGCTCTTTCTCTCTCTCTCTCTCTCTCTCTGTGTCTGTATTTCACAGGGCCTGCTTATTTTCCTATTACGTTTGTTCAGCAAAAGCCACTTTGGCTATAGCTGTTCTCGGCTTCAGCATGAAGCCTCCTTACCGGATGTAAGCCTCCGTGCTACTGGCTCCCCCAATCTGATTGTCAGTCAGGTAAGTGTTGTGAGAAGAGGAGATGAAGTAATGGCATAGCGGCTGGCTCATATCCTGGTAAATCTTGGTGTGGGCTTGGTTGAGGATATTTCCGGCTGAGGACAGTAAAAACATCATGAAGCCATCCAACATCATGAGGTTGTGCTGCCTGGCTGTGGGAGGAAAAGACTGTTAATAAAGAGGCTTTAAGCTTGCATCCGTCAGGCATGCCTAGCGTGTCCACCTTGTGACAGTGGCCAAGAATGTAATACAATAAGATCCAAAATACACACCACAGGAAACACATTTGACCACTACCAGAACCAGCAATGCTGCATCTGATTCTTTCCTCATTATGTGACAAATAAGAAAGCATGTTCTCTGATTCCATGATACTTGCTAATTCTATGTTCACATTGCTTGCTGCTTCCTACAGGGAAAGGTGGAACCAGATAAATCTGCTATATATAATCCCAATCATCACTGGTAATCTCAAATCTCCCATGCACTCTACCTCCAGCGCTCTTTCCCTTTCTCCTGCTTATATCTTCCCCCTTTTATATGGCATGCTTAAATTGACTTTTTTTGTGCTAAAGTGTCATGTTGTAATTATAATGTAAAAAAATAGAATATTGTTATTCTAAAAACATGTGTTTTGTTCTGCAGAAGGTCAGAAAGAACTGTTGTTGCTTTCCCTTGTACCATGCTTTCTTCCTAATGCTAATTTGAGCCCCAGATAGCAGTTTTTGGTCCCTGCACACAAATAACAGCTTTCCAAAACTCAAAAGCACTAATGTATTGCTATTCATAGCACCCTCAACACATATAATTTTGCTTTACAATAAACGGGGCTGGAAGGTCTCTACCCTGAAGGTCTCTACCCTGAAGGATAAAATATCCAAATATACACTCAAGAGAAATCACAGGGAAAGGTGAGGGAGGCAGAAGCAAGGATAAACAATGGAAAAGCAGGCAGTTATTTAAATTATACATACTTAGACTTAATCAAATTAGCCTATTGGAAAACAACAAAGAGGCAACCTGAGGTAACACTTCACTCATCAGATGGCCAGTACTGCATGAATGCTTAGGCCATAATGAAACTAACTCATCTTTAAGAGCCAAATCACTTTTTGTTATTTTTGCTGCAATAGACAAAAAGTGCTATCATCTTAGAAATTAGGCCACTGGTCACTTAGGCCAGTTGTGGGTTGTTGCTAGAAAAGCTGAGTTTTGATGCAGAATTTGAAGGAAGTAAAGCCGCCTTGGCTTCTTTTTAAAGAGAAAAGCAGGATAAAATATTTTAAATAAATAAATAAATACAGGAGATGGCATACTGAAGGCTTCCCAGGAAGTATTTCCAGTTTCATTGTGCAGGAAGAGAAACCAGGCACAGATGTTTCAAGAAGCGGTTGTTCGGATAGTTGAGGGTGATACAACTGTCCATGTGATGGTCACAGGTAATTATTGGGTTACAAGAAAGGAAAGAAGATGAATAGGGAAGTCCATGAAAAGGTTTGAAGATAAAGATTACTAACTTGGGCAGAGTTTGGGAGCAGACAAAAATCCCATAAAGCCAGGATTTAGGGTAGGATTTCACATGGTAAGAACAACAAAAGTAAGTCGTTTTGACAACAGAGTGCTGGATGGACATGAATGGATCAAGGGGAGATACGAAACATGAGAAAAAAAGACAACTGCAGTAGTCCAGATGGCAGATATTAGACTGAGGTCCACTGGTCAATCTCTAGGTAACTTGTACAAAGTTGCAAATATTTTCAGACTCCCAATTTAGCATTTAACAAATGAATCAATGAAAAGGTCTCCCACCCCCTGCCGTGCCACCCCACTCTTTCCTATTTCAGTGCTGAACATGGGGGAAGTACCCATAAATTCCAACTCTGAAACGAAAGCATTCACTTTCAAACTGTGCCTTTCTGCTATGTGTCCAAGCAGAGGTCATAAAATGCCTGATCAATAGCTATTGTTACGCTACTCTGTACTTGCAGAAGGGGTAACCATATTAGTGTGTGCAAGCATTATAGGTAAAAGCAAAACAGAAATAAAAAGTTTTTTAAAAAAGACAAAAACGTAGTGGCATCTTAAAGACTAACTTTTATCTTTTTTAATGTGAGTTTTCATGGACAAGTCTGTTGAAACGGACTTGTCCACAAAATCTCACATTCAAAAAGATAAAAGTGCCACCACATTTTTGTCTTTTTTCCCTTTTTTGTCCTTTTCTTTTTTATTTCTATTTTGCTTTTACCTATAATACTTACAGTACCTTGACACTGTTGAGTAAAGGCTGTTCTAATAATACTGTAAAGCATCTGAAAAAGTAACTATTTCAAGCTCTGGTTAGGACAGATTATTTTATTGCTATTTTTATTTATTATTTAAAATATTTATACTGCACTTTCTTTTTAAATGGTAACATACAAGCTTGGTGGATTTAGCAAATTGAATCTAGAAAAGAAGGAATACATTGTGCATTTTGGCAGACTGTGACAAACACTTAACATGGCATTTTAATTAAATAATTATTGGGGGGGGATAGTTTTAATCTCATTTGTTGAGGATCTTGTTATTATGTGTTTTTTGGAGGAGGTAGTTTCACTGTGTGTACAAAAGGCTTGGTTCGATAATGAGGAATCAAGAGGACTGTATACTTGGGGAGGGGGAGTAGTCACATAAATACAATCTGAAAGGCAAGTGTCTCTTTGTTGTGAGTGCCAAATGGGCTTACTGGACTGCACTCTTCAAAAGCTTGTGCCACAATAAATGAGCTGGTCTCAACAGTACCACAACAGGTTTATTGTTATTAAAGCAACAAACCGACACAGCTGCTTCTCTGCAAACACCCACCAAGACTGGTTCCCCCCTCTTCTCTATCTGGAGTATTTTTGGATCCAGGGTAGAGAAATGAAAGCTGAATGTTTTCTTTCCAAAGGAGTACCATTTTCTTTCCAAAGGAGTACAGGGCCTGGCATGCTCTGGTCCATGGGTGAGGAATGAAAGCTGAATGTTTTCTTTTCAAAGGACTACCACAATTTATTTATTTATTGTCATGTGCCATCAAATCAGTTCCAACTTCTGGTGACTCTTTCCAGGGTATTCTAGTTAGTAATTTATTTATTTATTGTCATGTGCCATCAAATCAGTTCCAACTTCTGGTGACTCTTTCCAGGGTATTCTAGTTATAGGGGACTCAGAAGTGGTTTACCATTCCCTTCTTGACACTTTCCAGGGTATTCTAGTTATAGAGGACTCAGAAGTGGTTTACCATTCCCTTCTTCTGGGTGTGCCCTGGGTCTGCACAGCTGGTCCAAGGCTAAAGAAGCTGGTTCTTTTACAAGGCACAGTGGGAATCAAGCTCTACAGCCAGATAAAACAAAGTATGTTGATTCCTAACTCACTGAGCTATCCAGCTAGCTCCTTCAATGATAGGCATATGTATATATCCTCATCAGAATCCAGCCTGTTCTTACAGTGAAAGAAGTTACAATTTAAACTGACTAGACTATTGCTGGTGATAGACTAGATTATTGCCGGTCCCATATATTTACTTGTACAGGTCTTGGAAAGAGATGTTATTATGAAAAAGCAGCTATTAAGCCACCTTGACTGCAACAACATTGTCCTCCCCTTCTTCCAAGTACGTTGCTCAGCATTCCTGCTGAATCATATCTTCATGGGACACAAAAATGGGGTAGCTGATTGTGTTGCACAGAAATACACAACCTGTGAGCAGGTCTGATTATAAAAGATGCTAGCTTTGCAAATAAAAGCTACTTGAATGTTCTCTCTCCCAAAGTGCATTCCTTCAAAGCTGCCATATTTATGCACTCGACTTGCAAATGAAGCCCATGACTACCTCCTGATGACCAATCAAAAAACAAACACAAGCTAATTTGCCATGGGTGGAGCCGAAGAAACTTCAGTGTCACAATAAACTGATGTCTTTTATGTTTTTAGGAAGCACCACTTCTAATTGCAAAGCTGGTGTTTTGTATTGTCTGACATGAGTTTCCTATTACATTAAACATCAAGAGACATCAGTTACTTACCCAAATTACTAATGTTTGCTGAATGTACCTGTAATGCACCAGCATAACACAGGCAATTCATTATCATAGCCATACACAAGGAAATTCACCACCATAACCTAGAAGTGTGTATAGCAGGTTCATACCTTTCTCATTCAGCTCATATATCTGGATGATATCACCAGCCTGCTGCAAGCTTGCTTCTTCGCCTTGATCACGAAGGAATTCCTGCAGTTCCTCAACCGACAGTACACAGTCCTCGCCTGAATAATGGTGGAAGATTTCCTCTAGCTCAGGCCGTGCCATGAGCTGTGTGCAGAACTCTTCAATCTCAGATTCCTCCAAGCGGTCATTGTTTGATTTGTCACACTCCTGGCAAAAGTAAGGGAGGAATAAGCAAACTTGCCTTAAATAGATGAATGGAAAGAATTGGAGGCAGTAACAGAAAAGCATTGGCAGAGCTCAAAATGAAAAGAAGCAAATAGTGAGGTCAAATCTGCATGCTTTTTTTTCCCTTTCTTAAGATATTCTGCAATTAAAACAATACAAACTAAGTGAATAAGCATACATTTTATATCATTTATCCTGCTGCTTGTGCCCAGTGAGGTAGCAAAGGGGAGATGCAGGGCAGTACAGCTTGAGAATTTTTTTCAGAGAAGGAGCTATGACAGAGCTCTAGGGCAACTGACACACTGCCCTTGCACTGGTAAGTAAGGTAAAGGCTCCCTTGACATTTAGTCCATTGACACACTGCCCTCGCACTGGTAAGTAAGGTAAAGGTGAAAGTTCACTTGACATTTAGTCCAGTCATGTCCGACTCTAGGGCGTAGATTCGATCTTACGACTGCAGGTCTTCTGACCTTGCAGCACAGAGGCTTCTGCGGTTTAACCCGCAGCGCCACCATGTCCCTGATTAAGTAAGTAATAAGTAGGTAAGTAAATGAGGAAATAATAAAGCTTTACCATTATATGTGACAGATAAAATAACCAACACCAACACAGTTCTAATTGACCATTAGATTCATGCCAGGCCCGATTCAAGGTGTTGGTTCTGTTTTTCAAAGTCTGGCATGGCCAAGGAACCATGTGACTTTGGCTGCAACTCTCCCCACATGAAGCCTCTTGCCTATAACCTTATATTTCATGAGTGAGGGCCCTGTTCTGAGTCCAAACTATATATAAGAACACAGTCTTTTCTGCAATTTCAGTCTCCCATTGGTTGATTTACTCTTTCCCCAGAAAGGGGCAGAGCAGGCAGAAACAATGAAGGAAAGAGTGGTAGATGAACGAAGGCCTAGGAAAGCAGAATTCCCGGGAAGGCAGCAAGCTAAGGGGAAAAGGAGGGGAGAATTCATGAGGGAGTGGTTCAGAGGAACAAAAATGAGAAAAACAGGTTGGAGAAAAATATCTCCTTAGGGAAGGAAGCCAGGGAAAAAGAATAATCACACTTTCACATACTAGCTTGAAATAGCCAGCTGTGTTAATTGATTTAAATATCCATAGGCTGCCTACTGAGAGTTATTCTTCAAAAGGCAGTTGTCACAAAATAAGTTATAATTAAATCTATCCAAACTGACACCTCCTTTTCTTAAATCTGTAATTTAAGAATCCTTCCCAATAGACAGCTCAAAGAACTATCAAACAAAAAAATATTATGCAGTTATTCTGTATTTCATTGTATGAAAAAGATGGTGGAAGCAACTGGACAGCATGGGAGGCTTACAAATGGAAGATGATGGCCTGTAGACCATAAAATTCCATGAGTGGGCCAGAGCAAAGGCATAATACTTTGTCTATAATCTCTTTCCAAAGACAAAAATAGAAAAAAAAATCTATTTCTATTGGGCTTTTTGTTACTTTGCTTCTATTAATCAAATATGGGACTTGGGGGAATCTTATCTGTACTTTCAGACCTTCTTTCTCCCTAGTGAGAGAACGAGTTTGAAGTGAGGATCCTTTATTTAATAGAATATAAGAAGCCATAGCCATGCAGGATACGAGGCAGAATACGGAAGAAGGTACATACAAGGCAGAACTATGTGTTTTGCGGGGAAATACCTTGAAAAGCTTGTAGGCATAGAGGTCATTCATGTCAATGTTGATCATGCGCAACATATTTTTTATTTCTTTGAAACTCATCTTATTGTCTTTATTCTTGTCAGCCTGATGTAGAATGTCATGGATCCAGGTGGAATCAGATGTAAGGAAGTAGCAAAAGCATTAGGGGGCACCAATCTTGGAACTTAAAGCGTCCCCCCATCCCCACCCCCAAAACATGCACCATAACAAGGGAACAAGCAGCTGACAAAGGTGGTAGGAGATCAGAAGCCTAGTCCTGTTAGGAAAATATAAACTCTTCCAGATGGAGCAAAAGTATCTTCAGAAGTAATAATACCTGGTTCTGTACTATTGGCTCCAGTACGTATCCCACCATCCAGATGATGCAGGGCTTTATCCAGTACTTTCTGTAACATTTCTCCTGTCTGTGTTCTTTCACCCCTTCTATCAGGGCTGATGTAATTTGTTCTAGAGATTTACTCCAGGGTAGAATCCAGTGCCATGGCATCATTTCAGTCAACAGGCTGGAAACTTTTAATTACCTCACATATATTAAAGTTCTTGTTTTTGTTTTTTTAAAAATGGTCCCAAATGCAAAGCTACAACATGGAAGTGGATTTCTAACAGTTATTCCCACCAATTCTTTTCTTTTTATAATTTATATCCATTCCACTCCCTTCTCTCTCTGCAGGAAGCTCAGCCAAACTCAAAGAGCGCATCTCCTGAAGTCTGAAGGCTAAACAGCAAAACTGGAGTTTAATAGTTAACAGAAGTTAACAATCACACTTGTTGAAATGCAGCCAGACCTCCCTTCCCTTTGTCTGCCACCACCAGCTCCAGCAGGTGCTGCTTTTTGTCCTTCGAACAGAGATCCTAGTGAGCTTGTTTGGGAATAACTGGAACAAATGGAAAGGATCTTTTGCCCCCTCTGGAAGAGCCCTCTGTTTAGCACATTTGAAGAAGACATGATGGAACAATTTGATGGGGAAACTCTGACTCACAGGCAGTCCCCTTCTGCTAAATTATCAGAGAGAAGAGGGGAATTTAAAGGCATTTAAACTTTAAATTCCATGCTTTTAAATGCCATCCATAGATCCGAGTTGTGTTTTTCTGCCTGCCACAGAGATGATACACTGGAACGTTCACCTGAGCAGGCACGCACTGCACTGAGCTGTGTTTTCTGTGCTTTTTGGGAAATTTTCCAAATTAGAGAGAATTACAACTGGCCTTGCTGTCTTTGGACTGACGTCCATTAACTTTGCCTTTGGTCCTGCACTTTGCCCTGCCCCTCCTGGAATACAGCACCAGGGATGTCAGAGCAGATGATTTCCTCTACTGGCAGAGGGCTGGACTAGATTACATTTGAAAGTCCTTTCAATTGTATAATTCTAATTGTAATTAACAATGCATTTGATGTACCTCCTGTGCCTAACTGGCTAGTGGATTTAAGCTACTTCTAACCCCACTGTTTTGGAGCCAAAACCAGTTCCAAAGCCAGGTTGAAATCTTGCTAAGTTCTTGAAGGCTTTCATAGCCGGGATCCGATAGTTGTTGTAGGTTTTTTAGGCTGTTTGGCTGTGTTCTGAAGGTTGTTCTTCCTAATGTTTTGCCAGTCTCTGCGGCTGGCATCTTCAGAGGACAGGAGTCAGAATTCTGTCTGTGCTCTGGTGCAGTTTTGCAGGATAGTTGAGTAGCTGTGGAATCAGCTTTTGTCTTTTGCAGGAGATTGGGTGATTATGGTGAACAGCGTATTTTTTGTTGCGGGTGTATTTTTGTGATAAGGGGCAATAATGATATGTCACTGTGATTGATGGGTGTTGTTAGCTGGTTTTTTGTGTGCAGTGATCACTGGTCCTTGTGGCTGAGTAGAGTTTGTTGAGCTGGACATTAAATTCTATTTCAAAGCACAGAAGTACTGGACAACACCAGCAATCATTATTCTAGACTGCACAGGGAAGCCATTGAAATCCACAAACACCAGCAAAGCTTCAACAAAAAAGAAGAAAGTCTAAAACTCAACAAAGCCTGGCTCCCAGCACTGAAAAATACAGCCTGCAAAAAGGTCAATGAAGTCTACCCAGACACAAGGACCGGTGATCACTGCACACAAAAGCCCAGCTAACATCACCCATCAATCACAGGGACAGATAATCTCTCCCCCTTATCACAACAATACACCCACAACAACAAAAAACACGCTGATCACCATAATCACCCAATCTCCTGCAAAGGACAAAAGCTGATCCCGCAGCTATAAATACTCAACTATCCCGCACCAGAGCACAGATAGAGTTCTGACTCCTGTCCTCTGAAGATGCCGGCCACAGAGACTGACGAAACGTTAGGAAGAACAACCTTCAGAACACAGCCAAACAGACTGAAAAACCTACAACAACCTTGCTGAGTTGTCTCCCCAATTCAAGGAATTCAAAAACCTTCCTCCAAAGTACACCCCTTTATTCCTAAGTAACAGTGCAACTGCTGTGCTCTATGCCTGTGGTGGCTTGCACACAAAGGATATTGTTCAAGCTTTTCTCGCTGGCTCATGGCTTCAGCTCTGGCCATCAGTTTTTTTAGCCCTCTCACCCACCGCTGAGCTTCAGCCACACTCAGGGCAGCCAGGTCTAAGTTCTTCCTCTTGCCCCTGAAGACAAGTGTGAAGCACTGCTCCTCAGGGAAACAGCTCCCGTACTTCCGAAGCCCCTCAGATTGGTAGCCTTCACGCACACTTTCAATGTGCAGGATAGAAACTGGAAGACAGGACATGAAGATGGGGATTGTACATGGACAGCAGTATAACACCAGAGAGAGGTCAGGATTCAATGCCAAATTGTGGGTGCACATAGGAATTCCAATCCAGTGATTTCTAAAAACTTTCCAGTGATTTACTGTTTGCTTGCCATAAAAGAACCTGGAACAGTCATAACTCAGTGACAGAGCATATGATTAACATGCAAAAGATCCCAGGTTCAGTCCCTGGAAGCATTTCCAGGTAGTCAGAGACCCTGGAGAGCCACTGCTAGGTAATGTAGGTAACTGAGATGAATGGTCTGCTGATCTAACTCAGGATTCAGTAGCTTCCTATATTCCTGGCTTACATTTTGGGGAACTACAGGAAAACAATATCCAGAAGGAAAATTGACTGAAAGAAAGGAATCTGGGAGAAACAAAAGCAGAGACGGTTGGGAATTGAGGATGGGGTTACGGTAAGACACTTACTGTACATGGGGGCCAATGGCTGGCTGGCTAGCTGTTCACTTACATATGCTCACACAACCCCACATGTCTGGCATTTTTCCTATTTGCTTGAAGGGTTTTCTAAACAGATTTTTTCATAACAAGTCAAGAGATGGATTACTAAAATCTGTCTTGATTTGATGTGCAAACCTGCCTATGCCAGGAAGCCATGAAATCAGTCTTTTGCTGGCCTAGGAAAGCTGGCTTATTTAAACTATGGCTAGTTGTGATGTTAAAATGTGAAGTTTTACAACCATCACTTGTCCCTAGCTTGTTTCCTAAGCTGCCGATGCTAAAACAAAAGCCAATAAAAGAAGCAGGAAACAAGCAAAACAGAAATGAAAAATACAAAGCATAATTTGTTAGCTGCACCATTCATAGCTTATGCCAAAAACCCTTCACAGTTAATACAAACTATGGCTTACTGTGCCATGTGAATGCACCCATATTTCAATAATCTGTACTATGCCTCTATAAATTAGAAGATAATTATTAGCTCCATATTAAAGGAAAATGGGAGCTAGTGATTTGAACACTCAGAAACTTACACTGCTCTTTCCCAAGCTCTATCACACTTCTATTAACATGAAATGAAACATTTGATATCCAGGGGTTGTTGTTGTTTAGTCGTGTCCGACTCTTCGTGACCCCATGGACCAGAGCATGCCAGGCCCTCCTGTCTTCCACTGCCTCCCAGAGTTGGGTCAAATACCAAACTGGAAGCTCCCCAATTTCTGCAGTCTGTCCACTAAAGTAGCTGAAAATTATTTTGAAGGAACTTTTCCCTTATAAAATGAGGAGATGAGTGGGGGATAGGATGAGAGAAGAAATGATGGACAAAAATTCCCTGAAACTTTGGAATCCTTCCTTTATCTTCATGGCACAATGTTTTTTAATGATTGGCTTTGTGCATTTTTCAACTTATCGTTGCTGCTGCTTAATGAGGCAGTGGAGAGCCCCCTGGCAGCCTGCTCCTTGTGATCCCAGAGCTCATTGCACTAAGCACACCCATGACGTCTGCCCTATAGTTGTACATGTGACACTGTACACATGCATTGGATCGCTCCAACAGCCCTCCTGGGTTTTGCATTCATAAAGCTGTTTCTTTCCTAGGACTTGTTTAAATATCCCTTATAATTTTCCTTTACACAATTCTTTCTCCTCTAAGGCATTCATTCTCCTTCTTCAGTTTGCCCTCAGAAATGACCTTGTGAGATACCTTAGGCTGAGAAACAATGACCAGCCCATTGTCGTCTAATGACCCTTCTTTTTCTTCTTCTTTTCCCTCTTCTTTTGTGTTGTCAAGTCAGTTCCAACTGATGAAAACTCTCTAAGGGTTTTCTATGTTAAAAAGTACTCAGTAATGGTTTATCAGTCCCTCCTTCTTGTGGCACTCTGGGATCAAACAGCTTACCCAAATCTGCACTGGTGGCATGCTACACAGCTACACATACCCGTCAGCTAGACACACACGGTTGTTAATGTCAGGCCACCCTTCTCTCAAGAGGCATAGTAACAATTTCAAATTCCCTGGGCTCCTCAACCAGATCCTTCCATCTTCTAAATTACATGAGCAAACCATGTGGAATTCAACAACCACATTAAATTAATATCAATGTAGGGCATTCCCATTGCATGTGCATGTGAGTGCACCTGTACAAAACTACAGTATTGCACAAACCCTTAAAGCTAGTGGTTGAACAACACTGCAAAGCACTTGTTGATGTGCAAATTCCTTGCACCAACCACTTTCAAACAATGTTGTTAGCTTTCAAATTCTGTTCCAGCAACCTTTAATCGACCTTCACTGGCCACAGAAAAGTGCCCAGAGAAAGCAAATAAACTCATAACCTCTCCCTGTGCTCCACCCTGTTCTGAGTGGAACAAACCATAGGTGGTTGAAGGTTCATGCTGTGGTCAAGCATATACAAGTATTTCCAGTTACAGACAAGATTAACAGATACAAGGATATGAAGAGTTACTATAACAGTTAATAGACTGAGCTAGGTAGGAATCAGGGGATCTTCCGTTCAAATCTTCCCTCTGCAATGAATTTGTTCAAACTAGCCTTAGTCAAGCTATATATTTCTCAGTTTTAGCTCTATAAGTGCAAAATAATACTAACCTGTTGCAAATATTACCAAAATAATTTGTATAATAAGCCTTTGATAAGACCTGGTGACTCTGATAAATTCTGGACTAAACTCCCTGGATTTTGAATTACTGTCATATCAGCTGGGCTGACGGGGACTAAACTCTAAAATATCTGAAGGTCAATAGATTAATGAAGGCAGTGCTATATGAATTCAAAGAATCGTGACGGCCTTCCTTCAGGCTCCCTCTGCACTTTATCTTACCCGTAACAGCTTGGGATGCCAGTTGTGATGGATACTGGCATATAAAGAACAACTGCCTGGCAGCAAAAATGAAAATGGTGCAACATTTCCCCATTGTAGGACTTCTATTCAAGAAAAATGCTCCTTTTTGATTTCCACAGGTAATCCAACCATTAGTGGGGTAGAACCCTATCCCTTAAAAGAAAAAGATATACACTTCTGATAGTGCAGGTGAAGAACAGTGAATCTCACAAAGCTTTCCAACTGAGTTAGAGTTAATCCAGATTTTATGTTCCCATTACCACCCACAAGCATAAATGTTTATCTGGCATAACAGTGGGAGAATACAGAGACTGCCTACTGCCAAAACAACACCACTCGTTCATCCATTTCTGGACACAATTCAAAGCACATGACATTACCTAGACTGGTATAGGACTTGGAAACCCTTAGAACTGCCTCCCTGCACATGAATCTCCTTGATTTCTACTTTCTGGGCACTGCTGCCTCCTGACTAGAGGCAGGTAATGACCAAAAATCTGATTTTCTCAGAGGTGGCACCATTTATCTCGAATATATATGGCTTGCAAATAATGTGTTCTACCATGGAGTTATGGCACTTCTCTTTATATCAGACCCATTCTATGCTCATTCATTAAATTTATAGAAAACACTGTGAGCTGCCAAAATATCACATGGCCTGAAAATGCCGACATTCTTAAACTGTTATAAACTTCATGCTAATTCTGTTGGGCATTCTCTTTTAAATGTTCAACCTTGTTAATTTTATAGAAATAATATTACCTAATTTTATCATCTGTAATATAATTATAGTGTCATGAATGGCTTTGCAATCCATGAAAAGTA